GCCGGGTCGGCCATTGCGCATGCGCAGGATGACCGTAGCCAGCAAGATTAAGAGTATTCTCCTTTCTGCGTATGGGAGTGAAAACCGTTTGCTGCTACGTAGTCTGGTTCCGGAGATATCGCGTATGAAAGATTTTATCTCCGAAACTACCTCCTCCCAGCTCCTGGTCTCCTAATACCTGGCCGCACTTAATACGGCCAGTACGGCGTTATCTTTCGAGGTATGGAGCTGAGATTTGGTGTGTGTCCTTGGGGCCGGTAGATGATTACTTGGACGCCTTTTTGGCCCCGTCGGACACGATGTATGTACCTGCCAAAAAGGCAGTAGCGGCTAGACGCCGGAAACCGGCGTTGCGGGGGGCAGTCGAGCTGGTGTAATATTCTATCAGATGCGCGATGCCCCAAAGACAATATGGGGCCCGCTGTTCGTCGTGCGATTCTAACCTTTATTGTAAGATTCTAGGTTAGAATCGCGTTGTTTATAAGTATTTGCTTTTAAACACCAGCCCTTGGTACTCACCCCGCTGTCTCCACTCCCACGCACTAACCCCGCCACAGCACGTGTGTTTGCCCGTTTTTGTGGGCGTCGCGACGCGGTAGTGTCTCTTGAGTCGAATTTAAAGTCGCGTGATGTCGCACACACGTGCACACTCCTCAGCAGCGGAGAAGAGCGGGTAGTGAAGATAAGTAGCTTGGTGCTCGGAAATTTAGTCGCCATGGAGCGTTTCACGGGTGCGCAGCGTACGTTCTGTGCCAGCGAGTTTTCACGAATTTGAAGTCGAGATTCGAAGAGTGCGTACGTCTCGATGGCTCATATCTCAATGATGTTATTTTTCAAAAATAGAGTTCCCATGTGTGTCTACTTTATTAAAAATATAAATTGTCTTCCCTACGTTTTGTAGTTTTTTTCTACGATTTTTTAAGACCCGCTCAACTTAATGGCCCACCCTGTATCAAACTTGGCATATGAATTAAAATATTTTTTGATTGCCGTTTATTATGATATGCAATTTGAATGAAAATTTGCAGTTTCTATTAACGTTATGTACATTTTACACGTTAAGTGAAACCCTTCATTAACTGTACCATTTTTTGTGATGTCTTATTGAGCAAACTTGCCGATAATATTAGTTATTAAAAGTATATAAATTATAAATATATTATAATATCCCACTTCTATAAAAATGTGTCTTTTTGAACAATATACTGAGTGGCAGGCGGCTTTTAATCTGTTGGCCATAACGCCAAACATTTATTGAGATATTTCTGTTCCAAAAACGAGTGAAATTCGTTCAAAATAAATACATTATTGCAATGAAACATGTTTAATGTCAGCTAACGAATAACACTTGATTTTAGTAATAAATATCGACGTTTTGATGCTCATCACTAATTGACATAAATGATGCATCGTTGGCCAACATTACCCCAATGGGATAAATTTTGGGTTACATTCAGTTGCACGTAACTGTTGAAATGCTTTCGCTCGTGAGACGTGTTACATTTATCGTCAATTCTTTGACTGTCACCCTGCAGTCATCAGCTGAGCTAAAGAACACTCCATAATCAACTCTATTTATTATTAATCTAAATTTTAACTTTAATTTTACTAACTCTTTATTTAGCTTTTGTTGCCACTTTATGTTTTATGTTTGTATCGTTTACGTATTGTTTGTTGTTTTTACTTACTTTTTTATGTTTTATATACTTTAGCTGACTTGTGCAAACACTTTTTTGTGTAATAGCACCAATAAATTATTATTATCACCTGCTCTAAGTGGAGGAATGCATAAGGACGCAACCATCAAATATGGGAGTTTAAAAAATCAATTAAAACTGATACATAATTATTTTTATTGGTATGAGAGAGGCATTTCCAAAGATGCATCATTCGTCGCTAATAGATCCAGTATCAGGCCAGTTGCCAATCCTGCTTTCAAATACTTATGAAATAAAAATAATAATTCGATAAATATTTAAGAATAATGACTAGTATTACTTACATATTACATGATATACGGGGTTTATCAAATCATCGATTTTTTTTGTTCCTATAGGTGCTAAGAGCATTAAAAATGGCGTGACTTAAAATGCTAATATCTAATAAATTTTCTGTCTGGAAACACTCCATCATTGATCGGCGGGGCATATGTGCGATGAACTAGTTTTACCAATAACCACACTGGTTCGAAAACAGCTCTTCAAAAATGAAGAAACGTCGCATTGAGATGTTTAAAAATTATGCAATATGATTTCATTGGAGCATTGCCCTCTGGAATTCAATTTAAATGTTATTTACATTTGTCGGAGACTTGACAATCAAATTAGTAAAATTTATTATCAGTTCATTCCTCATCGTCAATCGAAAATAAAGAAACTTACTACTGGATCAACATATCCACATGTTTCAAACTAATATTTTTTCATTTCCAAGGAGCAGCGACAAATTTGGTGCAATATAAAAAGTGTTCTTTCGTCTAAAGGAATGGTGTAAAGTAAATGCGTTTAGGGAATGTGGGTTGTATTTTATTCTTAAGTTCAATTTCATCATTGGAATTCCGCGTTCAAGCTTCGTGAAGGTTATGGACCTAGAAAGAATCATAACCAACGCATGCACGCAGTAGATAAAGGGTTTTTCAATAGCTATGTCCGAAAATTGGCAACATGTTACTCTTTCAGGTGGCCCGGATATCATTCCTATGTGTTTGTGTCCTGTCATAGTCACCATTTTACCACACTGTGCAAGAACGCGTCACAATTATTAAAATTTGTTATGAAAATTCGTGTTCTATTCGTCAAACTTTACGGCTGAAGACACAACAGTATCAAGAGTATCCATTGCATCCGGAAAAACTTACTGTTTGGTGCGGGTTTTGGTCAGGCGGCGTCATTGGACCGTACATCTTCCGAAGCGAGAATTGCGAGACGGTGACTCTCAACGGCGCCCGGTATCGGGTCTTGATAACTGACTTTTTATGGCATCAATCGGATGATATGGACCTGAACGACATGTGGTTACAAAGTGTCACCCATCGGCCATTACGTTGCGGTTGTTGCAAGAAAAGTTTCCAGGACACGTTATTTCCAGAAGAGGCGATGTGGACTGGCCGCCAAGACCGTGCGACTTAACGTCCTTAGACTTTTTTCTCTGGGGTTACGTTAAGTCACTGGTTGACGGCAACAAACCAACAACAATTCATCAACTGAATAACATCATTCAAACCATTGGTGAGATTCAGCCCGACTTATGCAGCAGATTTTTACAAAATTGGGCCTCTCGGATCGAGTCGAAGCCGCGGAGTCATGTGAACGATGTAGTTTTTACAACGTAATGGTATTGAATGTACTTTAATACGCAATTAAAGTTTCCATCATACGTCGCCCACAACTCGTTTTATTCAATTTTAAATTTCAGACACTTAATGAAAAACCATTTATTTTGGTTGCTAGCACTGGCAGTTATATCTACTTACCTTTTCAGGTCTCACAACCTACATAATTTGGAAATCAAAATTTTAGGGGCATCGTTCTGCATGTATCTACGCTAGGGTGTCCCAAAAAAATTAAAGTCTTATTTCCAAACGCATCGCCTCTAATTTTGCTTGAACAATGTCAAAGCAATTGTAAATAAAGTTAAGGGTAACCCGTGCCGAGTTGCGTCATCAAAACTTTCATACTTACGACATAATTTGAGTATAATTTCTTGATAAAACACTTCTACTAAAAACAACAATAGACAGTTGTTTTTTCGGTCATGACGGACCAAGCTTCACGTTTGGACCCTATACATGCTAACTATTAAAATAAGCTAGCATAAACTGCGAGTCTGGTAATAGATGGCACCTTATACTTTCTTGTTTCGATAGATCTTATACCTTTGATAGAGGTTAGTTGCTAAGCTTTCGTTCGTTTTCTTGACCTGAGTCGCTAAGCCTAAACGATGCTGATGAGTTGCCAAAAAGCACAAAATAAGTCAAAAGCAAGTCCTTGTTCAGGGACTCAAAATTGATAACAGTTTTCTCGACGAGTGTCCAACGTCATGGCCACATAATGATTCTCTTCAACACGCTAAGAATAAGGTGCAAACACTGAGAGCAGTTAACGATACGGCAGAAACAGCAGTCAAGCTAATGCAGGACTTCCATGCAGTGGCGTAGCAGGGGGGCGGCGGTGGCGGGCCGCACCGGGTGTCACTTTTTTTGGAGTGACACCCACCCGGTGACTCGACTTTAAGAACAATGTACAAACATTGCACAGATTGCATTGCAAAGTAAAGGCTTAACTGTTGAGGAAACCGCTACAAAAATAGAGGCACTTCGTTATATCGCAGAAAAACGGGGTCGCATTGTGCAAGAGGCAATAGTCTTGCTGCAAAAAAAAAATCAGAAGACTACGATATTCCAAGAGAAAGACGGCTTCGTCGTGAACAATGGGTGGTTGGTGAGATGGCCAGTGATGCAGGACTCCAAAAAGATATGCTGGAATGTCTTAATCGATCAGAATTGAACTCCAGGCAAGATCGAAGTCTCTTCAAGGCCTAGCTTCATTGTTCGAGATCGTACAAACAAATAATTTGCTTTTGGCGAATACTGAAGAACTGAAATTAGCTACATCCAAATTTACTGATTTTTATAATGAGGTCTCAGAAACAGAATGACTTTTGGAGATACCAAGACTGCGAAGGCACTGAAAAGCCGCTATTACAGTTTCTTATTGGGTATCTTTAGATTTTCTAAAGTTTATTGTAGAATGGGATTTTACAGAATCTCTTCCAAATCTTAGGATTGCACTAAAATTGTTCATGATGGTTTGCGTGTCTGTATCTTTATGTGAAAGGAGTTCCAGTAAACTAAAATTATTAAAAAACTATTTGCAGGCAACAATGACCCCATCACGGCCGATGAAGTTATTTCTGAGTTTACAGCAGTCAAAGCTAGAAAGAAGAGATTTTAATTGTAAGATAAAAATATTTTTTTCTGTCTTACTTTTTATTGTGTTTGGTTATTTCTTCAATATTTTATATATAAATATTAAATGATCCATGACGTTTATATCTCCTAAAATTTATTGCTTTTGACTTTCGATGGGGTGTCACCAACTTCCGCACCGGGTGCCACCCAAGGTAGTTACGCCACTGCTTCTATGGCTTGATCACTAAACAATTTTTATTATGTTGCGTTCAAGGTTTTGAAATCCATACATGGTTTCCCTATTAGCTTTCAAATGCAAAGCTTGACCGAAAGTCGGCACGGGTTATCGTACCCCGATTGCAATATTTATTTTTTGAGTTGTTAGAGTCAAATGAAAAAATAGAGGGTATACGTATCTCAATTTGAGCAAAAATTTGTTTGCCTTCATAGGCTGGGACATTATCAGTCACTTCTATATTAAAAAAAATGCTTCTGTCAAGCACAAAATCATGCAAAATACGCATATTTAAAAATAAAATAGATATATTTGAGTACTATTTTCATTTATACGCTGCGAAATACTAAGAGCTGCCTTTATGCGTGCAGTGTCGCCTACCGTTTGTTTTGTCGTTCTACTTTTGCATAAAATGTCAAGCATAAGATTCAGGATGTATCAGAGCGTAATTCTGAACACATTTCAACAGAACTGTCTGCTATATAAAGGTGAAAGTTCACCCTTATTCGTTTTCTATTATCAATAGATTATTTCGGGTCAACGAGGATAAAGAAATTGTTTAGTGCTGTTAAAAAATGGATGGGTACAAAATAGGAACGATTCCCTCACTGGATCTCATACGAGATCAACGGATTTAAATCCTTAAGGCTGCTGGAGTTTTTTGAACGGACGTATCCCCACAGCTTCATGGCTTCTTCACAATGTTCTTCTATGTACTGTAAAAATATACTGGTTAGTCCACACTAATTCTCACAATTATAAATACGCTGTATTGCTGACGTAATATTAAGTGTGTTTGTTTTTTTAAGATTTATTTCACGTGATTGCTACAATTACATTATTTTAAAAAACTACAACAATTACATAACATACAGATATTTAGAAAAACAAAATTTGCATCTCTAAGAATTTTCACTGTCCATGAAATATTCCTTTAAATTTCTTTTAAGCATGTTTAAATTACAAGTATACTATATATTATTATTTAGTATATTAAAATCAAGTAATTCTTTTTAAAATATTGATTTGCTAGTTACATTCCTAATGCAATTTTGTAAATGAAAATATACAGGGTGTCCCAGAAGTCGACGTCAATAGCCCATAGAATCTTGCAAAAAACGTGCTCCATCCATACCACATACAGCGTGTTCAACCTCTCCTGCCCCGGGATTATGAGCCCCGAGTTGCTTTTTGTCGCACAATGTTAGAAAGACGCAGGAAAGATCCACAGTTCTTTGAAAAAATTTTATGGTCGGATGAGACCACATTTAAGAAAGATGGGTACATGAACCTGCATAACTTACACGAATGGCACGTAGCAAACCCACATTTGATGAGAGAAGATAAATCTCAATATCGCTTCAAGATAAACCATTGGACAGGAATTTTAAATGGTAAAATAATCGGTCCGTTTGAGTTCCCAGAGACTTTGACTGCTGAAGTTTATTTGGATTTTTTGAAAAATCATGTACAAAATTTATTGGTGGACGTGCCACTGAGTATTTACACCGACATGTGGTTTCAGCATGACGGCTGCCCAGCGCACTATGCACTCTCAGTGAGAGAGTATCTCGATCAAAACTTTCCAGGCAGATGGATAAGGCGGTATAGTACAATACCGTGTCCAGCCCGATCACCTGATTTGAATCCTTTAGATTTTTTTACTGGGGAACTGTGAAAGAAAAAGTGTATTTCAAGCCGATTCAAAATGTAGCTGAGCTACGGCAAAGACTATTGGAAGCAGCTGAGTTTGTTAATAACCCGATTTTTTTTAAGAAGATGTCGAGCGTGTATTGCGGCTGAAGGAAAACAGTTTGAGCATTTGCTGTAAAGGTAAATCATCATCAGCAACATTTTGACGCCCACTGTTGTGCAAACAGTTATACTTAAGGGTCCTTGTGCGTTTTCATAGTCGCTGTTTGATTAGGGAATTTTTTCAAATAAAAATTGTGCATAAGTTAACGAGTAATCTTCTAAACCATTTTGGAATCGTTATTAAATGCGCCAACTTTTAAGGTTACTTGCCAAACTCTCGTAGTACATTTTTTTCCAGTACAGCCAGTTAAAGTTGAGCAAAGTTTTACTTTGGAATACTTGGTTGGGAAATAAGTGGCAATTTTTCCTGAACGAGAAAAGTTGGCAGTAAGGTTGAGACACCAGTTTGAAGATGCATTATTCATCATTATATTGTAAAAATAAAATCCAAAAAAAGTTAATATTTGTAGTAACAGGAGTTGACAGACTGCCGTAGGGTGTGAAATTTCTAAATCTTTTTTCAAAGACCTATAATTTTCAAAACACATACATAAAATTTTTTTAAATATTTTTCTGATAGCTGTTATGACTTTGCCTATCACCCGGTTTCGGCTTGACGTCGACTTCTGGGACACCCTGTAGATTCTCATCTGCAAAATTGTAATAGTTGCATAACTAGTAAATTTATATTTCAAAAGGGAGTATTTGTATTTCATAGATTGAATAATCATATTAAACAAACTTCGAATTTAAAAATGTTCAAGGTGAAATGAAAAAATCACTTTATGAATAATCAAAATACATAGTGACGTAATTTTAATTTGAATAGACAAGAATGTAAAATCACAGAAAATAGATTGAAGAAAAATATCTAACCGAATCATTATACAAAATTGACATTGTAGCATTAATGCTAAATAAATCTTCAACAACAAAAAAAACTGCATGGGCCTGTTTGTCTGTCTTGATCCATTGATGTTTTTTTTGTTCTACATGATCGTAGCTAACTTTTGTCTCAGGGGGGCTAACTTATGAACTGATGTGTGCAGAGATTTTTAAGTAACTTTTAATCAAGAGGACAAAACCTTCACATTTGCTGTTTTCTGTTTCAATCAGCCAATGACGCAGTTTTATTTGATAAAGCTTATCACTTACCTGAACTTCTGTATAATTGAGATCTGTTTTCCAATGGAAAGGGGCACTTTTTGAATCACGGAAGGTACTCGAAACTCCCCCGATGTTTATCTTCGTGTGGGAATCGAGAAAATTTATCACATCTTGGTGGAGATACATTCCCAAGAAATCAAAGAGGCTCCTTATGTGATCATGAGGGTTCAGTGAAAGATCTTCGTATCGAATTACCCTAGAATAGAAACAATTATGCAAAAAACATGTAAACGCTCGGCATTAGATGCAGCGGGATTCTTAATGTATACAGGTGTTCATTTAAAAACTTCCCACCACAAATTTATTGAAAATCGCTGATTAAAAGAAGAAACGCCGAGAGCCGTCAAAAAATTGGTCAAGGGGGAGCACTTTTTAACCAAAAACTACTTCAACCACTTTCACTCTCCGCTTCCAAAAATGTTCCTTTATTTTAACGATTGATTTTTTAAAATCGAATGTGACTTCTATTAAGATCCTTTGCAAATCTGTTCAGTAATTGTGCAGTTTCTTGAAGTTACATTTCTTATGTCTATACTAAGTGACATATAAATCCGAACACCCAGTTTAAATGGTTTTATTTTAATAAAAGTTGGTGAATGTATTTATCTTACTGTAAATAACAAGAGAAAAAATTTTCAGCCTTATCAGTTGGACATTCCGGTTTTTATACTGCTTTTTTTTAATTCACTAACGCTCTAAAAATGAATATTTCAGCCGCAGTAAAGAATCAACGTTGGCGGATTTTGGTTCTTGACATCCTTTGCGATCGGTTACGATGCCTAGAGTACGGAGACCTGTACGATTTCGTCAACTTGGTGAGTTTGATAGGGGCCGTATACTGGGACTTCGGGAAGCTGGGCTTTCTTTTCGAGCAATTGCAGTTAGAGTGCAAAGAAGTGTAGACACTGTGGTTAGGTGTTGTCAGGCATGGCTTCGAGAAGGCCGTACGCAAAGAGCAAGGGGCACTGGACGCCGCCGTAGAACAACAGACCGTGAAGATCGCCGCCTAAGATTATTGGCCTTAAGGGACCGTTTCTCCACTACCAGGTCCATTGCAAATGAATGGTTTGCAGAACACGGAAGACCTATTGGCATGCGAAGTGTTTACCGACGAATGAGAAGTTTTGGCTTGTATTCATACCGGCCACACTGGGTCCTCCCTTTAACTCGAGAATACCGACGTAATCGCCTTGAGTGGAGCAGACAACGGTCACTCTGGGATCAGGAATGGAACAGTATTGTCTTTAGTGACGAGTCTCGATTTTGTTGAGGCATGCACGATGGTCGTGCCAGGGTTAAAAGGCGACGTGGTGAAACGAGGAATCCATAGTTTTTTGTTGAAAGACATGTTCGTCACACTGTTGAAGTTATGGTTTGGGGTGCTATAGCCTAAGGTTCCAGGTCACTTTTAATCTTCATCAGAGGTAACATGAACGCGCAGCGTTATATCCACGAAGTTCTAGAACCCCATCTTTTACCCTATCTTGACACCCTGGCAGATCCAACTTTCCAACAAGATAATGCCCGACCACATGTTGCAATAGTCACAATAGACTTCTTTCAACATAATGATGTCACATTCTTACCATGGCCACCAAGATCTCCCGACTTATCCCCAATTGAGCACGTGTGGGATATGATGGGTAGGAGCTTGCTCAATTTGCAACGTCCTCCTCAGACTCTAGAAGCACTTCGAGAGGAGTTGGTGGTTGCCTGGAATGAGATACCACAGGAGGACATTGACCACCTGATCAGAAGCATGCCTAGGCGCGTTGGAGAATGCGTAGCACATCAGGGTGCATCCACACATTATTAAAGGTCAAAGGGCTTTAAAGCAGTGCAATCATTTTGAAATTTTTATCATTTACTTATTATGCTTCATTAAATACTTATACAAAATTTTATTAAAATAAAACCATTTAAACTGGGTGTTCGGATTTATATGTCACTTAGTATATTACTGTATGTAAACATCCCACCAATAATTGGTTGTACATGTAAATAAATAAACTACAAAATTGAAAATATCTCATCAGATTTAAAAATGATTGGAGATAATATCTTCAAAACACTAGATGTTATTCTAGCTGTGTATGTCCGACGCACTTTAACCCAAGGTTCTGACTAGTGAAAGGGCAATAAAATAAAGATGGGTAATAAAATATTATGAGGCGCCATTAATTTACGCTCAACTATCAGGCACTCGATTCGATGCTGTTAAAAAGCATGGCATATGTTTTAATACTTTCTAGTATGTTGTACACTGTAACAGCTTTAGGTATTCCCGCGCATAGTTAGCCCGACAACAGAGTGGATTTTTTAAATAGAGTGGCTTCACTTGACATCTGAATATGGCGCGAGAGCTCATTTTAAGTTCTAACGCAAAAAATGGACGTTTTTATCTATCTCTAGATATAAATTGTCTAAGGTTGCTGGTGAGACGACACCTACATGTGATCATTGTGATTCTGCGTATGCACGCTGGGGCTAGAATAGTACTTCTTGGTGTACATTATATGTCCTTATGAGGCCTTGAGATCCTACAGGTGGACGATACGATCTAACACTTGAGATTGTCGTGTTAAAGAGATAGTAAGTATACAGGGTGTTTCAGTTTATTGTTGCATAACTTTAAGATTCGATAGAACTTCTAAAATTAATGAATAAAGTCTATATAAACATGGGTCGAAAAATGCATGGCTTCCGAAATACAGGGTTTAAATTTACTTTCTAAAATAGTTTTTTTTAAATATTTCGAACAATATTTGAAGTATAACAGTGAAAATTGGTATACAAGGGTTTTTTGGTACGACAATAGTTTTACTGTAGCCGCTAGAGGGCGCTCTCTACTGTACCTGTAGTGTATTAAAACGACCGAAAAATTTGTCTTAGCGCAATTTTTTGCTTTTTGAATAAAAAAACTGATTCTTCGCACTTTTCAACATAAAAAAGCACTCTTGTGAATTTTCGTTATAGTTAACCGTTTTTGAGATATTTCGATTTTTAAAATCAACATATTTGGTCGCATGAAAATCCGCATGCAGTTCGGGAAAGAAATTTTCAGCATGAATTTAGTGTGAACTTGTGGATTGGTATCTACCGTAATCGATAGTTTGGACCCTACCTTTTGCCTGCAAGGTTAAATGCTGCGACCTTCTTGGAATTTTTAAAGGCTGAACATGCGAATATGTGGGATGATGTTATGTTAGATTTAAGAAGATTGGCCTGGTTCCAGCTTGATGGTTGTCCAGCTCATTATTCGAGAATAGTTAGAAACTGGCTGGACAAAAATTATCCAGAAAGATGGATAGGCCGTGGAGGACCAGTCCCCTGGCCTCCACGATCCCCTGACCTAAATCCATTAGATTTCTTTGTGTGGGGATTTCTAAAAGAAAAAGTGTACCAAACTCCCGTAGCCACAAGAGATATGCTAATAGACAGAATCAGGAATGCATGTGATGAAATAAGGCCTTATTTGAATAATGCGTTCGATCATTCGTAGATGTGAATTGTGTATTGAACAATTGGGTTTACATTTCGAGCAACTACTTTAGATTTTGTATGTTTGTCCTAACTATCCAACAGCATTTTAGTTGTAAATAATTAATTTAATTTGTTAAAAATAATATTGGAAAATTAAACAAACTAATATTCTGTTTTTTGTGTTTATTTGGAGTTAGGAATTATTGCTGTGTTTAAAAACACAATATAAACGATCATCTTAATTACTTGTAATGCCCAAATCGAAAATGTAAAAAAATATTATTTTCCCATAAATAATTAAAAATGCATCGAACCTTAAAAATCGAAATATCTCAAAAACGGCTAACTATAACGAAAACTCACAGGAAAGCTTTTTTATGCAGAAAGGTGCGAAGAATCAGTTTTTTTATTCGAAAAGCAAAAAATTGCACTAAGAAAAATATTTCGGTCATTTTAATACACTACAGGTACTGTAGAGAGCGCCCTCTAGCAGCTACAGTAAAACTATGCCCATGGTTTGTTTTGTCGTACCAAAAAACCCTTGTATACATCAAATATTGTTCGAAATATTTAAAAAAAACTATTTTAGAAAGTAAATTTAAACATATTTCGGAAGCCACGCATTTTTCGACCCATGTTTATATAGACTATGCATTAATTTTAAAAGTTCTATCGAATCTTAAAGTTATGCAACAATAAACTGTAACACCCTGTATAACTTCGCTTCTAGGACGAGTCTTTCATCCTAGCTTCATTTAGGCGAAAAAGGACCTCCTACCCTACACAAACGTTAGCGCGTACAGGGTGGCCCAACAAAATGGTCGCACCCCCATTGTGACTCTCCTGGTATATTTTGGAAAAAAATGCTCGAACACGACAACTTTGATTTCTATGGGGACGTCTTTTCATCTATAGCCGTACAATACAGGGTGATCCAAAAATAAGATATTGCGTTGCACCTTAGATTTTTAAATCGTATGTCATCAAACTTTGTCTTTAATTTAAAATTGTCAAGTTACCTACCTAGTTGTGAAAATGACTTATTCAATTCAAGAAAGGGTAAAAATAACAAAACTGTATTACCAAAATGGGAGCATTGCCAGAGCTACTGCCCGGTTGTTTAGTGCATCACATCCAGACAAAAATATTATGTGACTGCGCGATAAAAAGATTTGAAGAAACTTGATCTGTGCCTAATATTCGCCGTACTGGACTGGCTACTTCTTCAGGATTTACACGCTCAACCATACAAAAAAAATTTAAACAATAAATTTCAGCCGTACAAGATAAAACCTGTCCATGAGCTTAATGAAGACGATTTTGATGGAAGGTTGAAGTTTTGCGAATTAATGTCGCAACGTTTAATCAACAATGCAAATCTGTTACTTAATGTTTGCTTCTCGGATGAGTGCACGTTCTATTTACATGGTGCCGTAAATAGACATAATTGTCGACATTGGAGTGACTCGGATCCACATTTGTTTCGAGAGGTACCCTCGCAATATCCTGAAAGAATAAACGTGTGGGCCGACATTTTCGGAGATCATATTGTGGGATCTTTTTTTATTCCTGGGAACTTGGCGGGCGAGACGAACTTGGACATGTTAGAAAATACGATAGGGCCACGAATTACCGAAATAATAGAAAATGACGTTAATTATAACGAACATTATATTCAATTTCCAACAAGTGTACCGCAAATTAAATTTTACTTCAACTTCAATGTGCGTGTAAACAGTAAATTGTTTTTTTAACACTCCGAGGCTTGTTTTTTAAAGTGAAGTTTTTTTATTATGGAAACTATATTGAACGATTGAAGTTAGGTATAAACTTTATTATACAAAAATTACTAAAAACTTCGTGGAGAATCTAAAAATTAAAAAAGGTTTCCATTTAAAAATCTAAAGTGTACCGCGATATCTTATTTTTGGATCACCCTGTATTGTAAGGCTACAGATAAAAACACGTCTGCCTAGAAATCAAAACTCTGGGCGTTTTTCCCAAAATGTTCCAGGAGAGTCATAAATAGGGGTGCGACCTTTCGTTGGACCTCCCTATATTTCTACATGTTTCCTGTTTTTAATATTCTATCTATAATGAGACAATTATAGGTAATTTCAGTGTGGCATCAACAGCGAGTTATCTAGGAATTATTCATAACATTATGTAGCATTCATTCTGGAATAGTTTGTGCAATGTGTTCAATCGTTGTTTATTGAATGTTCGCATACTCTTTGTATGTGACACCATAAAATCGGATGGGTAGGTATTGATTTTCATTGTGCATGTATCCATACAATTACATGCAATTACCCGTTTAAAAATAGGATGTAGTTACAAGTTTTCATCAAAATTCAATAAATAATTGTAGGCGTTGCATTTTATATGTCACTTAGTATAATTTAGGATAGACATTTACGGTTACACATTATAAAATATTCAAAAACATAACAACCTCGATTTTGTTCATGATTTATATGCCTTCCTGCTTTGTAACAAAAAGAAATGATGTACTATCCACTAGATGTGGATCTTAGTCGATCTTCGGTTCTTAAGTCATTCGAGGTGGTACCCACCCCCCACCAAGACCGTGAGTAGCTAAAACATATCTACTGGTATTTAGGCCTAATCTTTGCTGGAAAGCAGATTAGTATGTCCAATCAACAGTTCGTATATAATCGATTTGAATCGGGAATCACGACTACTATAGCTTACCGAAACCTATCTGGATACCTCCTCTTCAACTGTATAGCTGCACTGTAATCTGAGACCATGTCTGCGCACAGATTGTTGGGATGATCACAATCCGGTTGACCTGGACACCAATCTCTGTGTCTGCGAGATTGGAGTGTACCCCGGGGATCACGTACCAACAAAACCACTCTAACGTTCAAACTGAAAGAGAAAATAACATTTCAAAATAATATACCAAAATGCGCCAATCGTCAAAAATCCAAATTTGGACTTTTTGTGCCCCTACATCCGCTGTCACTGAACAAATTTCCAAAAACCTTTATATGTGTATATTAGTAAGCTTGTGTGGAAATGTCACAGAAATCTGAACGGTACTTTCCAAGTTATATCAGGGTTATGGATAAGCAAACAGAGAAGTTCTTGTAACGAAAAATAAAAATGTCTTTATTTGTCAAATACTGACAAGTGAGGCGTTGTTGAGTTCAGAATGCCATTCTCGATAGAGATAAGTAAAAACATATATGGTGTCTCATTTAAAAATCGCAAGTTGGTGTCATTTCCGGTCAAACCGGAAGTACTTCAAGGCAAGTGAATATGTCAAAGAAGGAAAATTCCTCTATAATACGCAACTCCCAAATTTCGTTTTTCTATCTTCAATAATAAAAAAGTGAGAATGACCTGGTATAACATCAAAAAACATTTTCGAAATTTTTCGCAATTACAATATTTACTCGTCAGTGGCGTGGGAAGCAAAATTAATACTTTGTACTGGCTTATTTACCAGTCTGCCTACATCCGTAAGTTTATCTAATCAATCTTAAATAACCAATCAACCAAAAAAACTAAAACTGTATTTCTTGTATCTCTGATTTCCACAAACCTGGATGCGGTCCTGATTAACACATAATAAAGCTAAAGTTGATCCAGCATTTTTGTTTTACATATATCTAATTTAAATAAATAATGTAAATAGTTACATTACGCTCGTTAATCAGTTATAATTATCATTGTGCTGTAATGAGAGAAACATGTATGCATGCTTAACATGTATTATGTTATATAAATATGTCTTTCCCATGTTGCAATGTCACGTTTATCAATCTGGACTGACTGGACTGTCGCTTGAATTGCGCGAATTTTTAAACCCTTACTTTCTCATTCTTTGCCAGTGGTGACCTGTTACCACACTTTCACGGAGATGAAAAGTTTGGACTTTACTAGTCATTCCAATGATACTTTCGCTTTAAATTAAATTCGCTGGGAAATTACAATACTGTAAAAAAATATATAATAAACAACCAAATGGAAAATAAGTGTAAATATGTTGGTTAGTAGACAAAATTTCAAATTAGACGATATTAGGTTGAAATAAAAATAGGCCAACGTGATTCTAAATATTTACTTGGTACATGCATTTCAGTAAAAATAACAAGAAAATTTGAACAATCTCTGAATTCAACTATAACGTGTAGAAGTAATCCATTTGTAATCGTGGAAATACTTTATCAGTAGATAACAGTTATAAAGATTAATAAAGAATAGATAAAAATTTGCAAGCAGGTGTCAACTATTTTCTACGAATCGTAAACTAGAGCATAATTTGCGATGCTAATATTTACAACTGGATTTGTTTGCTGTGCATGTACAGAAAAAGCACTAAGTAGAAACTCTTCTAGAGTGTTTGAAATTAAGAGTGGGTGTTCTAATAACATGAAATATGAATGTACCGGCTGAAACTTATGCTGTGGTTTTCATGTTCATATAATAATAATAATTGACGTCCTTTTTATTTGCAATAATATTGCAAGGGGCGAGATTTAGATACCATATCTATTCTATCGCCTAACCCCCTTAACAATATGAGTTGTATATGAATTGAAAATTTGTTGAAAATTGATACCTATATACAATAACGACAAAATAAAGTATAACCAATGTAAAGGCATAAAGAAAACAAAAAATCAGTTAACACTTATGGGTTACATGGTTGATCAAGTAGAATTTCTTCCAATTTTTTCTTGAATTTAGGTAATGAAATAGTTTCTTTTGAACTACGATCTAAATAACTATATAATTTGATCACTTTGTAACTATATGTATACTGAAAAAGAGATGTGTTATGGCGTGGAATTGGAAAAGTCTCTCTATACCTAAATATTAATGCCATGCATATTTCCTCTACATATAAATTTAGCTACTAAATTTGAATATGAGTTACTTAGGAGCTATACATTTTATCAATTTCCATCCATTTGAGGTCATTAATGGCCTTCGATATACGATCATATTGTCTGAGTATCGTCGACAAAAAATTGTATGCTGCATGATTTTATCTCCGTTTCTAAATCTGAAATTTATAATGAAAATAACAGGAGTCCTAACACAGATCCCTGTGGTCCACCAGAACAATTTTTTTGTGCGGTAGAGTTGATTGAGAGGAACTTTTTGAAGCCGATTTTCAAGATAAGTTTGAATAAACGAAAGAGGTTGTTAATGAAGCAGTTAAAAAATGAAGAATTATTTTTGATGAATGTCTCAAGTTCATACCTCATGTAAACAAAGTTACTGAAAGCTGCTTTCCGATCTTACGTCAATTATTGAATAAACACATTCTCGATTATCAAACTAAAAAACTCTTATGCGAATCTTTAATTATGTGTAAAATTACTTGCTGTGATATAGTTAACAATCCTTTTTTAAATACAATATATCTTTCACGTGCAAAAAATTCAAAATTCATGTTGCAGACTAATAAATAATTTGAGAAAATGTGACCAATATAAGCGGTTCTTTGTTAGACTTGGGATGGTTGAAATTGAGAGATTCTGATTCCATCGTTTTTACAGAACAACCCTGAAATTCTATTCACTCAAGAGACATACGGTTTACTGACAAAAACTCATTATTTCTAAAGTGATTCACATACAACACGATAACACTTTATAATGAAGTACCTCAAGGCATTGAAATCACTTCATTATACGTACGTCAGGAATAAGTATTTTATATTAATTTGTATGTATCCAGATTTCACCAGGCTACTAAATGTTTCCCTCAACCTAACCGTAAATAACATTTAGCAACAATCTCACATACTAATGTAAGTAATTTAAAATCATTTTACACAATAGTTGCTATTTTTTCTCAATGTTATTGCAGCTCGTGATGAAGATGGCAAAGTCCATTGAAAGCTAGAGACTAATAAAGTATAAAGAGTCATCATTGCTTGGATTTTTTCGAAGCACCCAACTCAAGGCGGATGCTTTATTTTATATATATATAAATTACGATGACTTCAAAAAACAAATGAAACAATTTATTTTAGAAAAGTACTCACCTGCATAGTTTGACCACTCGCTTCGCAAAATGTTTCCTTTTCTGTGTACATTCACGTATATGATTAAATGTTAATTATTTACTGTTAGTATACTTGGGTATATTACTTTTACATATTTATAATTGTTATTGTATTTTTTCTGTATTGTCAAGGGTTAAGTGGCAGAATAGCTTCAAGCTAAACTTCGCCTTCTAATAAAAGACGTTTATTATTATTATTAGTATCTCCCCGTTTTAAGCTATCCCTTAATCACTTGGCAATATACTTACTCATCATCTTTCAGTAGATCCTCTGCTAACCACAACCTCATTCTGACCGTCTTCATCGACTGGAAAGGAAACAGCTTACAAAACTCGTTCAAAAACGTTGAATTCCAACAGTACTGGGGATACATCTCACACTGGTTCCACAATCGGGTATTGTGAGTAAACAAGTAAACATGAGACATGCCGTACTGGAGGTAACTATACAGATTTGTGTAATCGCAACTCAATAGGCTTTTCAGTGTGTATAATGCTGACTCGGCATGTGGCGCTCCCCTGATTTGAACTATCCCATATTCTAGTAAAGGCTCATAGTGGTAGTAATTGCCTGGCACCGCATTGAGAACATCTCCTAGGAAGGTTGACCCAGATCTCCAGGTTGTGAATATCACCGTTCGAATGGGTCTACCACCAGATGCTAAGGTGTAATCCTCAATGCTTTCACCTTTAGGAAATCTAGAATAAAATAATATAGAATCATTTATTGGCAAAATAGATGCACATGATATAAAAGAGGAGGCTGCTGACCTGTATGAGTAATTTTATATATAGAGGGGATGAAGTGTCTTAGGCCCGTATCGTCAGTCGTCCCTACAATTGTAGGGAGCGTTTATGGCCTCCTTGATTGTCATACTTCGTTCTCTCCTTCAAAAATTTCTAGATTACACTTGTCCCGTCACAGCGTCAGCGCTCTCCTATTGTGAAGATATGTTTTCTTTTTAAATTGTAGGAAATTTCTGGCTGATAAAACATGATATAACTCAAAAGCAAGCACAATTTGATGCAAATAGACGTTTGTGACATAACCTCAAAATAAAGCGCTGACACGAAGAAGTATAAAACTATGACAATCAAGGAGGCCATAAAGGCGCTCTACAATTGTAGGGACGACTGACGATACGGGCCTTAGGGCCTTATCTTCAGTCATCCCTACAATTGTAGGTCGCCCGTATGGCCTCCTTGATTTTTACAGTATTTTCTCTCCTTCAGAAAGGCTGGGGTATTGCTAGATTTCTACTGTTCCGTGTCAGCGTCAGCGCTCTCCTAATGTGAGGTTATGTTTTTTTGCCCCAAGAAATTTCAGACTGATAAAAAATGATGAAAATCAAGTTTTATTAACCTGAAATACCTTACGAGTTAAAAAAGAAAATATAACCTCAAAATAGAGCACTTACACGAAACAGTAGAAATCCAGGAGAGGAAAAACTATGAAAATCAAGAAGGCTATAAAGACGACTGACGGTACGACCATTAGTGTGATGTCATTACAGTTGTACGTTGAGCATCAAATTATTTATTTATAAGTGCAATATTATACAAACTAAACAAATACTTGATTGTAATGCATATTAGTTCTTCACAAGTGTATCACTAAAATAAATTTTTCTGCACCTAGTTTCTCTCTGAAGTACACGATCGTATATGTATGTATTGTGACAAGAAGTCACAGTCTATGTAATTATTGATCAGCTTAAATAAAAATCTGGCTGACGCTTTTTGTCTCCGAAATTATAAGCTAGTTGTATGCGCATCTCATATGGCAGTCCAGAGTATGGAATGAAAGTTTGAATAATAAAAATGTTGGAAATTTATTTCGAGCATTTTCCAAACGTTTGATGCTGGTAGAAAGGAGCATCCTACTTTCAGCATTCATATTATAACATGTCACCAATAGGGGTCACAATACCAAACCATATTTCAGGACTGACCTTAAATAAATCTTGGTGTTTTAGTGTTTATGGTATTACTCGGATTTGTAGAAAATTAGTAATTAAGTAAAGTCTGTGTTAGTGTACTGGAAAGGTGGAGGATTCTGAAAAGCAAATGTGATCTTTTTCTAGGTTAAATAATTTTTATTCAACATAAATATTTTCTTAAGTAATATGAATATATGAGCAGAAGAAATCTTGAGATCAATCAAAATAATCAATAGAGCAATATTATAAAATTATTGTTTTAGTATATCAGCATAAAATCAAATATTTTGTTAAAAAAAATCAAAGATTTTTGGTTCAACACTATCTTTTTCTCAACTTTAATGGAAAAACTTTCACTTCTAATTCTAATGAACTCTAAAAATATACAATGAACTACAGTAGAGCCTTAACAAAACAATCACTAAGACAGAAATATTTTTCCAGGTATCGCCATTATACTATATCTGCTAGGTTAGATACTTAATTAGATTGATCTAGACTTTCTGATGTAATATCGCAAAAATAATGTAAACTTTTATCACTCAGTCTTGTTTGCAAATGATTACATAAGTAACCCAATGGAGAAAGTTCTCTCTACTGTTGGGAATGCTCTTGATAAGTTATCTTGATTTTGCAAATGCTTTAAAAGTAATAGAATTGAAATTTCACAAAATATGGAAAACATCTAATATCTTAGTTATTGTCATTTCAATAGCAGTATTTTCAAGACCTTTATTTGGTCTAGTATCCCTGTATTTTTGAAATCCAGGACTGCAGTTTGCAATCTCTAGTCACCAAGGAAGTAACAACAGTAGTATTTAAAACTGCATTGGTTGGAATGTGTTCAATGTCGAAACAATTGTAAAGAACACAAAAGAGCAAGGTTACTATTAATTCAGAATTAGTTTTACATATCAATGAACTGCAATCTTTTTTCCTGAATAAAGGTCAATTGAGTATTGTGGTGACAAAACAATGATGCATTTCTTGATAATAACTAACATAATGTTATTGATTCTGAAACTCTTCAGGCATCCAAAAAACAAACATAATATCGTTCATGTCATACACATATTATAAATTTGGGTTATTGATAATATTTACATTCAAACTAATGGACATCACGACTGTTAAATATTGCAACTAAGTATTTGTATTTTATGTAAGTTTAGGAAATGAGGGTAGATTTAGAGTGAAATGAGTTACTAAGAAAATTCTTAGTTTTGGGGAGGCTGATGCCTTGATAAGCTGCATGTATGCAGGTACATAATAGTTAGTTGGAAATACTATCTTGTATGCTATACTAAATTATGAATGTATTATTGGTGAAATAACTTTATAAAGAATTACTTTTACCATAAAAAAATAAACATCTTTAGAGCTATCAACTAGATACTAGAACCAACCTGTAGTCGGACAGCTCATGAGCAAGTAATTTCTTTTGCTGCACAACAACTTGCTGTATTGAAGGAATAATAGCAGTGATGTTAGTCGATTTGAGGGAGTCATCGAGGTCCAGGAACTGTTTGTATCGCAGTGGTCTGTTGTGGTAGTTTGATGGCTCTTTCTGACTCAATCCTATCAGGAACAGGCAAACGATCGCCACTGTTATGATTCCGAGCATTTCATTTTTCCGTACCATCATGCCATTCTTGCTAGGCCTCGATCTATTTTCCTTAAATAGGTGTTGGCAAGTGCCTCTTCTTAATTATCACATTCCAAACGTAAACGCACGTGTCCCAGCTTGATATAGCCACTTAATAGCAAAAAAAACTAATTGCGGCTACCTTAACCTATGACATTTTGCGCTTTGCAGTCTCTACTGCAGTAGTTGCGATCGTTAGAAGAAAATAGCGCAAATAAGCACATTTTTAATTCGTTTATTTGTTGTCTCACAAGATCCCCACTGCACTATTTGACGTTAGACAAGGCCGCATTTGTCACATTGACAAGATAGGGAACTTAAGGTCACTTAAAGTAACTTGGGGAAAAGCTAGAGATGGGTACTAAGAGAATGGAAGTTATAGTGATTACAAATAGTGATATTGGGAAAGTTGATGAGGCTGTTACTAAAGGTTGAATAACGTAACTTGTGGTGTCCTTTTCAATATAATTTTGAACCGACAATTCTCTTTTGATTATAAACTACATCGTGTGATCTGCCGCACAAGGTAATAAAATCTAATTACCTCGGTGACAACTTACAGGCTTTGAGAATAACTAACTAACTGTTTTCATTAAGTTAATTATATACTTTTTGTAAGTACTTTTCTTACGAGTTGTCAAGGTAACACGCTTTTATTTGAAAATTTGAGGTGAAGGAGCTCTATGATCATTTAAATACTTCCAAGTGGAAAACATATTTTTAAACAGCTATATCAAAGCCTTTGTTTTTGAACATGTATGTTTCCTTTTATTTATTTAGCTTGAAGTTCATACTGTATTACTATACCTATACAATGCTTTTCGTCCAGAAATAAATAACTAAAACATACCATTATCACAGTGACCCATAACTCATGCAAAGCAGACGCTGTCTTACACGTCGTAGAGATGCTAAAGTAAAATATGAGCATTGAAATATTAGGTTTTACGATTAGTAAGCTGCATACTTTCGAGTAGATCTATGATGTTAATGAATTTCACTGATTAATATCAGTTTGGGATAGTAGATCAGGCGATGTTACTCTGGAATCAACGCTACCAAATTGTAGAAAATTATCTTATTTACTTTTGCTTTAATACATCACTTATATTAATCTAGCGCCTACAACACTCAACGTTAATGGAAGTGATTAGATAATCAATTCCAAAATGATATCTCTGAATAAAAACATATTGCATTTCGCAACACGATATAGTATTAAAAAATAATCGGTTCGAGTGGAGCAAATGTGGCCACGCAAGACAATTGTTAAAATACACTCGATTAGCCCCAGTAAGACTCCACAGCGAAATTATTCCCGAAATCGTTGGGCAACACTCAACAAATGGAAATGAAAATGCAAAATTGACGCCCTGACATCAGAAATGACTCGGTTGGTACCCCGGGCTAGACAACAAACTTTACAGCTGACCTTGTCATTCTTGTTACATGGATTGCATTGTTGTCAGCTCATCGGATATTTTTACTACCTTTGCAATTTCGCTAAAACCTCCTAAAAATGCTTGGAATAAAACATGGACTAATATTAATGGTGATACATATGATTTGATTTGATCATGATGTTTTCAAAATAGTTAAAGGTGATTAGAATGAATATTCACATTGTACGTGCAAATACAAACAGAACAAGACTATGTATTTTTAAAAATTTGTTAACACTTTTTATGATTTGCATTTCATGTCCACAATTTATACATCAGTAAAAAAAATATATTGCAGGTTTAAGATTTTCTATATTTAAGTATAAATACAGTATGTACCTGGATATTTTGCGGTAACATCAAAACAATGAGACTGGTGGTTTTTATGTTGCAAATTAGTATTTTTATTAATTGTTATCAAATTTTTAATCATTTATATATCCTGTTCACAATTTGCATATAAACATAAAACAATTATTTATATTGTAGATTTCCATGAGTATAAATTGTCTGTCGGTATTTTTGAGTAACATCAAGAGTAGCATAGGATTGATATTTAAACTGTGAGATAGAAGGGTTGTAAATACCTTTAACAAACAGTATCAGGTAGGTTGCCTCTGTATCTCACTTGCAATTGAAAAAGTTTGTTATCAATGTGATGCTAGATTAGAAAAAAACGCATCGTATCATCACAATATTCAAATTAAATGATAATTTTTGTATGGGAAGTACAGTGTCAATCTACTTGGTACCACTTTTTTCAAGTTCAGCTCGTTTTATTTCCCTTTTGTGAAGCCTACTGGCGGCGAAGTATTGTAATCGCGAAAGACTTCTAAAAGGATGTTACATGCCATCACGAAAAACCATCTCACTCATTTCCGTCGAAATGTGTACACAATGTTACTACAATGCAAAGGACGCAGAAGCCTTGTAGGGACGGAAAGAATGTCAGTTCCTTTATGTACTGAATGTTTGTGAAGTGAAGAGTCAACCTACTTGACGCCATTTTTTCAAGTCAAGTTCAAATTCATTTCTCGAACCTGACACTTTTATAGAATTCAAAATTTGATATATACCTAGTTCAAATATAGATCTACGGTGTCTATTAAATACCCGAACACCCCGCACGGGTATCGCGTATCTTGAAATGTGACATTATGCCGATTTTTTTGACATTATGTAGGTTTTTCTACAAGATGTTAACTTATCACTTAGTAGTACGTGTTGCGTAAACGACATGAGGCTTTAGTTATCAATGTGTGGCTCTGATTTTATGTAAAATCTGCTGATAGATGGTATTACTGGAGGTCTAAGCTGTAAGTTGTATGTGTTGATAATTCCATTGGATTCTTGTCTCAAATACACTTAATCGAGATTCAAAGCTAGAAATTAATTGCGCAGCCACTTTTTCTTATACATTCTGGAAATTACATATTATACAAATTTGCTGAATTTCAAAAAAGAGAGCGATCAGAAATAATTATATTCACTGTACACTGTCGAAGTACAAGCCATATATATGCTAACAGTAATTATATACAACGCGGGCACCGCTTATAACTTTGAACATAACCTCTCTTCAGAAGGCACAACATATAAATAATACATGCAGACCAATACACATAATCATCCAGATGCGATCTTGCTATTCAACCGACTTTCTTCTCAGAGATAAAAACACGGATCACTCAGCCTCACAAAACTATGCAACCAATAATACGTGTAGTTTAGTTGAGTGATTCCTTCATAGATGGACGTTCACGATACTAGTCAGCAAACGTGGAATGACTGTTTGCGCCCTGTCTGCAAGTTGACATCTTATAGGTGTTTTTGACGTTTTGTAGGTTTTTTAAATGATACCCGTGCCGAAAACTTGACAATCACACATTTTTGGAAATTTACACATGGGTAATACCGAGACAATCTACATGATGCAATTTTCCAATGTTTTAGTTGCTGACAGATTTTCTGTACGCTGCACCCATGGACAAAATGGTAAAATTATTTGTAGAACAAGATGTACCTGTTTATGTCTACCTCAAGAATATGAGTATATAGAATCATTAAATTCGGAAGAATGGAGGAAAGTCCCCTACAATGTCAGTGCTGTACCTCGCTGCGGCGATACGGTACGGCCGGGTAGTACAGCCACGCCCCTTTCCAGCTCCCACTCCGCGCGTCTGCGTTTTCTTATCTGACACTATCACGAAACGACTCGATGCTTACATTGACGTGAGCAGTCGCGCGGAGTGGGAACTGGAAAGGGGCGTGGCTGTACTACCCGGCGGCACTGTATCGCCGCAGCGAGGTACAGCACTCACACGCTTCAGTCTCTCGGCAATTGTCGCCGCAGCGGAATGTCTACGCTTTCACAGCTCCGTTCAGATCTCTATTCGGTTTAGCTACTTTTTTCAGTAGTGGTGTTCACTATAAGGTTCTCAATTGACTCTCAGTGGTGCTTTGGTGTTTTAGTGTTGTGGCGTGGGTGTCAAGTGTCCCCAAAGTGGAAATTAGGTCTACTTCCAACTCTTCTGAGGATATCTGTGCAGCAAACTAGGTGAGCCTTGCATACTCATCTACTTGTGTGTTAGGGTTGAAATGATATGTTTTTTTAAATAAATGAGAGTTTTAATAATGTTGTATAGTAGACGACAACAATATTGTCTACGTTTATATTTTTTGCCGATAGTCATAAAACGGCTATAAAACCGAGAACCGGAGGCGGATCTGAAAATTTTCAAATATTTTCTCTTGCAAGTCTGGACGAGATGAGAGATGACTGAATCAAGTTGTTGAACTAACGTTGATTGCTATTGTAATTAATTATCTTGACATTAGTTTTCATACGATTAACCAAAATATACGTATGTATATGATGGTAGCGATGTCAAAGACGTAAAGTTACTTACCTAATTTGCTATATTCCATCCACCTACATACATATTTCACTTTCACAATTTAGTTCTTTATTTAAAAAATGTGCTACAAAACTTGATCCGTTTCTTCCGAAGAATATGTTCCCGAGTACCGCTCTGCTGCATCGCGCTTTTTAGATTCGCTACATTCAAATTATCTATACCGAACTATTAGAGCGTTTTAGGTTACTTCAATGCTCGTTTTTTTTTAGTTTATAACTGCGGCATGCTAGCGATTTTCGATTGTACAAATGAAGCCAGAATTATGGAACGACTTAATTTTTCTCCACCTGATACAATTAATCTTAGCAGTGACGGTTGAGGTTTTCTAGGTTTTTCCTCGCCCAAGTGCGAATGCAGTCACTAAAAAACCATATTCCCCTAATAAAGAGCAGATAAAATGAAAATCGTACTTCTCCTATTAATGATCATGTAATTTTAGATCAAATAGTTAATAAATATATTTATATAATAAAACATTGTTTTTTTTTTCAATTTTATTCTAAAAGTATTTTATCCTATAAAACTGGGTATTTATATAAGTGTTCAGAAACATTAACGTTCCGCCGCATAGACGCCAGGCGACGCAAAATCTAAATAACAGTTAAATTTTCTCTATAACATTCTAGCAAAATAGCAGAGGTAGCAAAATTGTTTGATGAGCTGGCAACGCCGCAGTGTAGGTGACAAGAATGAAAAGAGCGTATGTCTATCCCGGGGTAACTGCGGATCATTTAGTACGTCAAAGCGGCAGTGTTCCAATCTTCATTTGCATTTTTCAAGCGGTGTGCAACGATTTCGAGAAAAATTTCGCTACGGATAGTCTAGAGCTAGTAGAGTAAATTTCAATACTTGTCTTGCGTGGCCATGTCATCTTTACTCAGGGCCAGTTGTCTTGCGTGGCGATATTTGCTACACTCGGACTAAATAATCAATCAATTTGATGATGATTCCTTTCCATTTGTAGGTCAATGTCCATTGTTCAGTTGCTTACATCCCATCACTATAATTGAATTAATCACAGAATAGCAATTGTGTCATTGTCATGTGTATGTCATCGTCACATGTCATGTGTTTACAAATGGTTTTATTCCAGAAAAAAGAAAGTGAAGAAAAAATAGAATAATTTATTTCGTTCAACACTAAATATGATTAAAATATTGCAAATATAATTGAAGGAGAGCCTCAAAATGTTGAAGAGTCTGTACGATATATGTTTAACCGTGGCAGTGACTGATTGTGTCTCAGTATGTAAATACAAATTTTGTAAGAAGGAATTTCGGGCTTTGCCAAATCACATACTATTTGACTTTTATTATAAGGTAAATATTCTGAATTAAATACGATACTATTTGCTTATTCTTTGTACTCCTGTGATAGGAAGCAAGCACTTAGTGAATGGTATTCAAATAAACAAGTTGATGACCATTCAACTTTATTATGAACCCTTAAGAGCGTGAAGCTTATAGTTCTACAATTTCCATATTCCTATATGATTGTAATCGTCTAAAATTAGAATATCAATAGATTTATTATAAATAAATTATCAAGAGAATAATCTGAGTCTGTTAAGCAAACTAGCATCTACAACTAATTGTTTGGTATATTTATAAATATGTCTGGACAAAACAAATTCCTCTGATTTTCTTCAAAAACAATGGTTTATCAACTATTTGACTGACAGATCCCAATTTATAAAAATTTAGGGTAAAACATTTACTTTACGAGATGTAAAATCAGGTGTTCCTCAAGGAAATGTTTTAGGTCCTATACTGTTTAGTTTTTACACTTCAGATTTGATAGACTGTATGACATCTGATTGAGTATACTCATACATTTCTATGTGGATGACATACAAATTTATAAAGCATATAGACCAGATAACAAATTCACTAATAATGGACCTCAATATGAATTTAAGGATTATACAAAATTATTACTGCTTAAAACTTAACCCCTCCAAAACTAAAGTTTGTTGCCTTGGTTCTAGGTTGATAGTTTCAAAGTGTAAACAAACAATTAATACAGATATAGTTTTAAATGGAACCATTATTGAAATTATGGATGAAATTAAAAATTTAGGAATAATGTTAGACACAAATTTATGCTTGGAGGGTCATGTTCTAAGTAAACTTAAAGTATGTTATTTTAAATATAAATCTTTCTGGAGATTCAAGAATTTATTGTCAATTGATATTAAAGCAAGACTTGTTAATTCACTAATTCTAACACATCTGGATTATGGAATTACAGTTTTTTATAATTTTCTGAGACATGAGCACATTACTAGATATTATATCAGAGGAAATGTTTTAAAATACCCATATTTCTCATTGCTTTTTTATGCTACCTTGCATTATAAAGTTCTAAAATATAAATCCCCTAGGTATTTGTTTAGTGAATTAGATATATGGTCATCACTTCGAGAGTATTACTGCTCAATGATAATTGTTACATCTGAATTTAAAAAATGTTTCCTTTACATGGGACCATAATTATTCCAAATTTTTCAAAGCATTTTCTATCTATAACTTTAAAAGCGAATTCAAAAAAATGCTATTACAATTGCAGTTCATTGAAGCCACAACCGCTTAAATGCAGGCTCTTCAAAATAAATTTATAATATATTTATTATCGTTTTTATAACATTATGTATACTCAACATTGTTACCCATAATTTGTTAATAAGTTAGTTTCACATCTGTAGTTTAGTAGGCTAAGGTGAAAAATGACATTGCCAACCCCCAGCCTTTTGGGGTATTATGTGTTTTGTATTTGTGTTATGTATATACTCCAATAAACATTATTATTATTATTATATGTGGAACTCTAATTCATTTGCAACTAATTGACATGAAAATGCTTTTTCTAAATCATTATTTCCATGAAGTAATTTTCAATTACTCTGCTGCAAAGATCTGAAGGTCTGATAGGGTATATCCTGTATCACATGAGCTTGGTTGCTAATTTATGTCCCTGCTGCAGAATGTCTAAGTGGAATAGAGCACTATCCAACTGGACCTTCCTGGTTGCCCATATCATTCAGTCTGACCCAAAATAAAATTTATGTTAAAAAAACATATTGCTTATAAAATGGGCATGTCTCAAGCAGCAGTTGACTCATAGACTAACAGAAATGAGTGACTTGTCTGAACATATTACCACGATTGAAAATTTAGTGATCACAATGCTTCTCTCACCCATTAGAAAGAAAATTGAGTTTCATTCATTTGAAAACATGCTTATAATAAAGTACATCAGATTTATTTCCTTCCTTGTCAAACATTAATGTATTTTCTCACATCTTTACGTGTGCAATTTGTATTTCAGATGTATCTAGAGAAACGACTATGCTTGCTAGCTGTGGAGTTCAATGAATTAGACGTATTTATACGAATGCTGCAGGTGAAGCACAAACGTACTAAATTACTAAAAAGTTTCCAAGCATTGATTGACCATGGAACGAACGTACCTGAAATGCTTATTAAAAAATATGTAGCAAGATGCAACACAGTTGATTCGTCAGATACCAACATAAATATAGGACTAAAATTAGGCACATTCTTCAATGAAAGTGGGCTTTTCCATTATAGTATAATTGTTTTGAATATTACTGAAAGCGTTTGTAAAAAACAACCTAGAGATGTTACCACCCTTAGGAGGTTGCTGGACTGTTACCATAAGTAAGTTTTTTATTCCATTACTTTGCATACATACAGGCTATATTTTCTCATTCTTGTCAGAAGCTTAGCATAACTGTGGCGACCACATTATGCGAAAGTGACTATGGACTATTGACACCGTTGTTAAAATTATACATAAAATAAAATCAAATTCTAGTGGTACAGATGGAACTTTGAATATGATACTACTATGTATACCTGAAATTGATGTGTACTTAACGCATATTATAAACTGCTGTATAGAGGGGATATTTCCCCAATCAGTGGAAACGCGCTATAGTTATTCCGCTACCTAAGTGTTCTGATCCTACTAACTATGGTCAACTGAGACCGATCAGTCTACTGCCAATTTTTTCTAAAGTATTGGAACGCGTTGTTTACGAGCAGCTCTGCGCCTACTTATATTCTAACACAATTATTCCATCTAAACAATCTGGATTTCGACAAGGTCATAATACAGCTTCCGCACTCTGTGATTTAACAGACAATATAACAATGGCACTTGATAACCAAAAAGCAGTAGCTCTCATACTTCTTGACTTTACTAAAGCATTTGATACCATTAATCACTCACTTCTTGTATCTAAATGCAGTTACTATGGATTTTCTGAAAAACCTCTTTCGTTTATTCAAACCTACCTTGAAAATCGGTATCAAAAAGTTCGTCTAAATCAACAGTACTCCACGGAACAAAAAATTTGTTCTTGTGTACCACAGGGATCAGTCTTAGGACCGCTATTATTTTCATTATATATCCCAGATTTAGAACCAGAGGTAAAATCATGCAGCATACAATTTTTTGCAGATGATACTCAAATTTTCTATTCATTTAGGAGTAATGACTTGGAAACGGCATATAATAAAATTAATCAAGATCTTGCCCAAATTGAAAAGTTCAGTAGTAGTCATAATCTTCGTTTGAATCCTTTGAAGACAAATATGTTGGTATACGCAAATAGAACAAAAAAGAATACCTTAAAAAAGGACATAGACATACATTTAAAAGGTAATAAATTAATTCCGGTGGATCATTCAAAAAACCAAGGAATTATAATATAATGATGACTTAAAATTTGTTGCATACGTGAACTATGTTATTACTCAGTGCTACGCTATTCCCAGAGTTTTATATGCAAATAAGGCTATATTACATAAATCTGCGAGAAAGCAATTGTGTGAATATTTCGTGTTTTCTAAGATGTCGTATTGCTTAGTGGTTTACTATCCCTATTTAGATATTATAACAAGAAATCGGATTCAAAGTATTATGAATACACATGTTGCAGGCTTGTAAATGATCTCAGAAAATATGATCATATATCGAATGCCATTAATGAACTCAAATGGATGAAAATTGATAAAATGTATAAGTACCAGCTCCTAAATCTGACTCATAAGATTCTTTATTCAAAAACACCGTCATATTTAGTAAACAAATTCATACGTAGAGGGAATATGCATCGTATTAATATTAGATATAGAGAGACTTTTTCAATTCACGCCACAGCACATCTCTATTTCAGAATACATACATTTACAATGCGATCAAATCATATAATTCTTTAGACCGCAGTTTAAAAGAAACCAATCCATTATCCAAATTCAAGAAAAAAGTGAAAGAAGTTCTTCTTGATCAGCAGCGAAATCGGTTGTAACCCATAAGTGTCCTCATATTTTCCTTATGTATTTACTTGGATTATTCGTTATTGTATACAGGTGCCTATTAATTTTCAACAAATTCTTTTTTTTACATCTCGTATTTTTAAGTGGGTTAGATGGTAGAATAGATATATAATCTAAATCTCGCCTCCTGTAATAATATTACAAATAAAAGACGTTAATTATTATTATTATTTTTATTATTATGCGATATGATCAATTGCCCGTAGAATATATCTGAAAAAATGTAATATGAGGTGAAGTTGACCTAGTTGGTTCTAAAAGTTCGATACTGGAGTGAGGACGCTGCCTAGCAGGCAGCAGCGGTGGCCGCAGTAGTAGACTCTTCGGTCTCCTGATCAGTCGCCGTGCGCTGTGCGGGTTCGAGTCCCGTCCCAGGAGAAATTTTTCTCTTGGCTATGGATGTTGTGATTGTCCGTAGGTGGTAGACGGTCTCTGACTGTCGAACGCGGAGGTACCACCCGGCGGATCTCGTAGACGGAGCCAGAATGTGTGCAGGTTGCATGCACACGTGTTCCCTCGCCAGAGTCCGTGTGGCGTTCCCCCTTTCCCATGTATCCCCCTATAGCCCCATAGTACCCAATGGGTGCTTAGGCCTTAGGCCTTCATGTTAGTTGGAGTATAAAAAAAACTCTACCATCTGATGCAAGTGAAGAATTTCCAATACCTGGAAGGCTGGCTCATTCAAATAGTTTTGAATTCTGGTTGGCTGTTGACTTATTATGATTTTTTCATTTATCTACTTTGTTTTTGCTCAATTTATCTTTTGCTTCTATCAATGGTGAGCTATTCAGACTAACCCCATCTGAGTGAGATTAACAGATGTTTTTCTCATTTTATCTACCGCTTGTTCAATCACGTCCCCACAAACCTTAAGTCTATGTCTGTGTCAGCTTTCAAAAGAAGTTACAGAAAATTTCTATTAGATGAATTTACCTTGTATCGTTCCTTTACTTTTTATATTTTTAATGTTTTTTTTTATTAAATCTGCCTAAAATGTTTGACCTTTTTCGTTACATTATATTTTTTATATACAGGGTGTCCGCAAAGTTGGGGTTTTCCTTTACACGACGTGTAGATCTTGAAAACATAAGCAATTTTTCTTAGTACCATATACACCAGGGTCTTAAGGGAACCGAGATAAAGGGCTCTGCAGCATCAAACATATCTGAATACCGTCCTGTAGCCGCGACATCCCCGAGTGGTACTAGGACACTAGCTCAACCCGACGACAGAACTGGGTCGGGGTCAGTGTGTCAGGTCAGTATGCAACCTTCAACCGACGGTTACGGTCACGCGTGTAGAGGTAATCGCGTAGACGAGAATCCCTCAACAAGCACTAGAGACGTGGCTAGAGAAGTGCAAGTATCAAAAACTAAAGTGTGGCAAACGCTGCGTGAAGAGGGGCTGTATCCGTTTCACGTCCAACGTGTACAAGCCCTTCAACCTGACGATTTTCCAGCAAGAGTGCGGTTTTGTGAGTGGTTGTTGCATCAACATGACAATAATCCGGACTGTTTGAAGTGCATATTGGTGACAGACGAATCTACGTTCACGCGTAATGGGGTGAATAACTTTCGCAACACTCATATTTGGTCAGTAGAAAATCCGCACGCTGTCCGTCTGGTACATTTTCAACAAACATTTTCGGTGAATGTTTGGGCTGGCATGGTGACGGTATGCTCATTGGACTATTTATTCTCCCAAATCGATTGGACGGGATGCAATACCTAGACTTTTTACGCAACATTGTGCCTTCCTTGTTTGCCTGCGTCTGCTCGGTAGCGCATGAGCTGATTTTATTTTCTGTTGGAGCGGTATGATTTCGAGCAGAGACGTAGCCCTTCTCGTCAACTGGAGTACTTTTTCCTTTATTTTTTTTTACTTGGTCGCCCTCGTTTCACTACACATTACCTTTGTTATTTCAAGAGTAGTTGTTTCTGAAAAGGAAAACCCCAACTTTGCGGACACCCTGTAATTTCTGTATATACATATATTTTTTTGACGTTTGTAATTATTATTTATTAATTATTAATATTAACTTATATAATTTGGTTAAGACCTCCTCTGTTGTAATTTTGTTTGTTTTGCTAGAACTTTGATCAGCACGTCTGTTTACTAGTCCCTTTTGCAGGTAATTGATGTTGTTTCTTCGTTTTTAAATTTTTCTCTTTGTATTTGTTTTTGCTCTGCAAATAAACGCTATTATTATTATTTGTCATCACTTGCCGCGTTTAAGTTTATTTTATTTAAGCGAAAAATCCACCGAATTCAAATTGTGAGATTTTTAACTTGGCAAAATTGCTTCGATCTATGTCAACGAACTGCAAAAATGAGTCTTGAGTTTTACTCCATGATAAATTGAAACGTCATTTTCATTTTATGTTCTGAGCGAGGCACTGCTTTGGCAGCCTCATTTCTGTTGGGACTGCCTTACTTCACTTGCAAACCGAACGCAACTGTTAACGAGAAAACTGACTGTATAATCTAATTACTAGTTATTGCATACAGCGTGTCGCAAAAGTCCCGGAACGGCTCTGTATTTTCTCGGGTAAGGAAAAGATCAAAGTTAAGTCTTCAGTAAATTTCAGCAAGGAATCCATCGGTGACCTTGACTTTGACCTTCACGATCAAGGTTAATTTACGGTCAACTTTATTTTTTCCACTAAAAATCAAATTTTTTGAAGCCGGCAATCGACAGAACGGAAAATTTTACTTTCAAAAAATGAAGATCAAATGTATGCTGCTAGTTAAACCTCTATAAATCTCACAGGATTAGTGATGAAAATAATCAGGGTCCGGTATGTAGTAAATTGTGATCTTGGATTTCACCTTGAACTTTACCTTCATGGTCATTTCAATGATAATTTTGTCAAATAGAAACCTGTAGGAACAGTATTGGTTAAAAAACTCATTCGTAACGAGCACCTTGTTAAAACTGACCCAAAGATCTGACCTTGCCAGTGATTTTCTTCGCTATTCGTGTGAGATTTCTAGAAGTTTTCCTAGCAGAATACATTTGGCCTTTATGTGACCTCTAGTGGTCACCTTGATCTTGAATTCTAATACACATTTGAACATAATATTTCCGGCTCTCTGGATTGTCGGCATTAAATAGACGTCTTTATTTTGAAAAATTGAGTTGATCTTTAAATGACCTTGTATGTGTGCAAGGTCAAATCCAAGATCACCGCTACTTGTGAAAATTTACAAAAGACCTGACACCTTACCAGTTATTTTTGTCACGATCTCTGCGAGATTTATAGAGGTTTTCCTAGGAGCACATATTTGACCTTTATTTAACCTATTTGACTTTGGATAGGTTTTAACGAGGGAACTACGGTGCTCGTTACAAATCATTATTAACCGATACACTTCCTGCAATTTCTATTTTAAAAAAAGGTTCAAGGTTAAATCTAAGATCACTAGTCAAAATTTATTAAAGAACTGTCGTTGACAGCTATTTTCATGTCTAATCCTGTAAGATTCATAGTGGTTTTCCTAGCAGCACACATTTGACCTTTAGTGGTCACCATAACCTTGGTCTTCAATTCGTATTTGAACGTAAAAGTTTCCGCTCTTTCGATTGCAGGCATCATAAATATGGATTTCCGTTAAAAAATGAAGTTGACCCAGAAATGACCTTGAAGGGGAATATCAAGATCAAATCCAAGGTCAGCGCTGGCTTCCTCGTTAAAATTTATCAAAAATCTGCCTTGATAGTTATTTTCATCACTCATCCTGTGAGATTTATAGAGGTTTTCCTAGCAGCACATATTTGTCCTTTAGATGGCACCCTGATCTTGGACTTTAATTCTGTTTGAACGTAAAATTTTTTGTTATTTCGATTGCCGGCGTCGAAGATTTGAAAAAATAAAGTTGATCTTGAAGGTGAAGGTCGAGGCCAAATTCAAGTTCTCTGTTGATTTCGTTGCTGAAAGTGACTGACGACTTGACCTTGATCTTTTCCAGAAACACCTTGCTCGCACAAATACAGAGCCGTTCCAGGACTTTTGTGTCACGCTGTATAACGGGTTATTTTTCAGACGCATATATGCAGAAGCTACATACTGCGAATTTAAAGAGGCTGCAGAAACGTTTAATTCTACCGTTGCGATAATCGAGGAATTGAAGGCGCTGGACGCTCTACCCAACTTAGCTGGGCTTTACTCAAACTTTTCTTACCTGCACTTCATCCGAAGCGAGTATGAAAAGGTACTTCATGTCATCCCATGTCAATCCAAAATCACCTATATAAAAGTTGCACAATAAGAGAGTTAGTTTAACAGTTATTTAAATAAAAATCATTATCAAGTTAAATGGAAACCGTTTTTACAAAAACTGTTCAAAATTGTCCCCATTTGTTCGATGAACGCAAAATTAAGTCACATGCATTTTCAGTGCGCTGTTGAAGTTTTTTCAGAGTATTTACAGCTCCATCATAATACGCCAACTTTTTCAAATAGCCTCACAGAAAAAAATCGCAAGTGGTTAAATCCGGGGAGCGAGCAGGCCAAGTGTCTATTGCGCCCTATCCATCTACTCGGAAATGCATTCTATTTGTTTCCGTTATTGTATTTCTTAATAAATTATTGATTCCTGATACCTGTCAATATAAATTTTGTATCAGTGGAATGCCGTAGTAAGTTATGGATGTGTTTCTTGCATCGTCTGACATGGAGGAAATGTCCGCTATCCCACGATGCGCCAGCGAGTTTTCCCGAATTTGAAGTCGAGATTCGAGGAGTGCGTGCGTTTTGATGGCTCAATGATGCTATTTTTCAAAAATAAAAAATTCTCGTGTACTTCAAATTCAAATTATCTTCCCTACGGTTTGTGTAGTTTTTTCTATGATTTTATAAAATCCGCTCAACTTGATGGCCCACCCTGTATAATCATGTCAAATATCTCATTTTTTCTTCAGATATAGCAATTTGTAGTAGTTGGTAAAATAGAAAACTAATAAAATCTTAACTATATTCTTCGAAATCACACTTGTTTTTGTATACCAGCTGTCAAATTGTTGGCTAATAAATTAGTTTGTGAAAATTATTCTAAGCATTCTGAATTACGCAAGTATCAATTCTAGGAATATGACTGGTCACAGAAGGCTTTGGCATTACTGACAGAAGATTTACCTAGCAGGTAAGTATTCAACATTTACAATTTGTCGGTCCAATGCATGAACCAGTAAAGTCACATGAGGAAAAATGCAGAGTAAACATAAACATTTTTGATGTACATTTTTTAGTCACTGAAAATTTTTGTATTTGATATTTCTGCTGCAGTTTTTATTACATATATCAATCTAAATTTAAAAAAAATAAATGAACTATGAGGGAAATATTATTGGACTTGACTGGTTTATGCAATTTTTTTGATTTTTCAAGTGATAAATTTGAAATAAAACAAAGTCTGACGTTAAAATGTTATTTTTTGTTACTGAATGAAATAAATTACTACATGGTTTAATTTATCTTTGATACAAACTAAAATATTTTAATTTATTCATCTCCACTGAATTCTGATGCGGACGTTTCTTTATCATCTGGCGTAAAGCTCTGATGGTATTTTCTGATTTCATCATAGAACCACTGATCACATTGGGGCACGTAGTTTTTAGCCAGAGTTATAACGTGTTCAAATTTATTTTTCTTTAGCTAGAAAGCTCTTTCATTATACATCTTATTTGTAGTCTTTGGTAGTCAGGAATGTACATCCTATCTCGGATTTAAAAGAGAGTATTTCACTACATTTAAATAATATTTGATTATCTAGCTTTTCATAGCGCATGATTCGATATTATGAAATTGTGAATTTATTGTTCTTCCTTGAAGGATTCTTTACGAACAACTGTTGCAAATGGGCCTTGAAATTTAAAAATATATCCTGCGTTACATAGATGACCTAAACGTTTTTGTTTGTATTTTCAATAATTTTTGAGAACTCTTGCGGCAAATATATTTACACGCTTTTTACGAGGTGAAATCTAATTTTTTATTGATAAATGAATGTTGGTTTATGCCATTTATGTATGAAAAATAACATCAGTCATGTGACCACCGCGGCTTCGTTTACAGGCCAACATCCGAACATCAAAATTTTCAATGACTTTTCCCAGAATAATCGGGTCTATGGCCGCAATTTCAGTCCGAATATTGCGCTTTAGGTCTTGAATTGTCCGAGGACCATCCGCATGCACTTTTCCATTCAAAAATCCCCAAAGGAAATAGTCAAGAGGTGTTAAATCACACGATCTCGTTGGCCAACTGACATCTGAATTTCTCGAAATTATGCGGTCTTGAAATTTCGTGTGCAATAAGGCGATTGTTTGGCGAGATGTGTGAGCCGTTGCTCCGTCTTGATGAAACCAAAGATCGTCGGCACCAATACGATCCAATTGTGGCCATAAAAAGTCTGTTAACATGCCGCGTTAACGTTCCCCGTTGTCGGTAATGGCCTTTTCTTCGGCATCCAACGATGCCACCAGCCCATAATCCGCACCAAACAGTCACTTTTTCAGGATGGAAAGGTTGTTCATGATATTGGTGTGGATGGTTGGATCTTCTCGCACACTTTCACTCACTGCGGCCATCTACGAGCTGGACGAGCATGTTGGTATGGTCTACGACCTTCAGCTGAACCAGTTTCCTCAAAACGATTAACAATCCAACGAATTCCAGGATCTGTAGGGCGTCCATGTCGGCCAAAACTAGTGCGAAGTTTGCGAAAAGTATTTTTTATATTTCGACCGTCTTCATAATAATTTTGGATAACCAAAATGCGTTGTTGTGTTGTAAACGAATTTTTGACAGTTCATTTATGCATACCACATGACTTTTGACTCCTATGGTAACACATAAACTTATAGGTAAAAAAAGTAATAGATGGCGCACCCAGTATATCTGTTGCTCCAAAGCTCCTATAGTACGAAAGGAAACTATATCCGGGTACCTGTGCTGTATTAGACTGGCAGCACTGTGCAAAAATCAGTCAAGTCCAGGACTTGGTTTATGCAAAGTGTAAAAGCGTAATCAAGCATTATACACTTCACTTTTAACAATTCAAATGTTACAGAGCCGGTTCGTGCACTGGAAGGTTCAGAATTTAAAACTGTGCAAGAATATAAACCCAACTCATTTTGCCCAAAAAAATGGGCTTGACCGGTTTATGTATTGGACCCCTCTATCTTTTACCAAGCTTAATCAAGCATTATACACTTCACGTTTAACAATTCAAATGTTACAGAGCCGGTTCGTGCACTGGAAGGTTCAGAATTTAAAACTGTGCAAGAATATAAACCCAACTCATTTTGCCCAAAAAAATGGACTTGGCCGGTTTATGTATTGGACCCCTCAATCTTTTACCATTGCAACAAAAGGTATCTGGATATCGTAATGTTTTAGGATCATCATAGACGTGTTGAGGCAGGCATCGAAAGCGTGCGTACTGAAGCGAAAATTCAACAAAGCCGGGCTATTGATACGCCAAGCGGTGACGTTGGCATCGGAGCTGTACCTTGAGGATGGTCATCCTTATTTCGCAGACGCCCTCACCGATTACGCGTTCTATTTGCTCAATTCCGATTCTGTACAGGAGAGCGTTAAGGTGTACGATAAGGCGTTGAGCATCAAGAAGGAAGTGTTCGAGAAAAATAACATTCATGTGGCGTTAGGGCACGAGGATTTGGCGTATGCGCTCTATGTGAACGAGTATAGCTCTGGCAGGTTTTATCACGCAAGGTAAGTTGGTTTTTCAGTATAAATTTTGATAATCAAGATTTTTATGTAAAAAATTTAAACAAGTACTGAACGTTCATGGTCTATGGCAAAAAGTTAATGACTACACAAGGATTACAAACTTTTCACGAACTAAGATCGATTTAATAATAACCAATGAACAGAATTTGAGTATTAAGGTTTTACATACTCCAAAAATAAGCGACCATACGTGGACATGTTTCGAGGTGGAAAATATGTTTAATGAGAGAGAATCTTTGAAACTTTACGAGAGTCACTCTTACAAGCCAATATCACTGACATTTTTAATGATGCTGACAGTTACTTCTCAAACATTATGGATTGTATGGAGAACTGCATGAGAGACGCACAAATGAGGAAAGTGGTATATCAAAGGAAAAACCCAACACTCTGGTTTTCACAAATATTTCTAGACTCTAAATTGATGCGTGATAATGACTATAAAAAGTTTATGATCACTCAAACTGAGGAAGATTGGATACAATATAAGAAATCAAGAAACAAGTGTTTAACAAATCTTAGGAACGAAAAGAAAAAATATGAAAACAAAATCGATAGCAATAAAAATAACAGTAAAATGATGTGGAAGACACTAAAAAATATTGTATCTCCCAGTAGGAAGAATGAATTATCAAGAATGTGCTTCAAAGGTGGTATAGTAACACAGCAAATATTGATTGCAGAACGAATGAACGCTTGTTTTATAGAAAGTATAAATGAGATACTGGAATGAATCAAAGATAGGGATCCAAATCTATGTCACATGCAAGTTACTTATGATTCTTCTATGAGACAATTCCACACAATAAATATCAGCCATCTTTCAAAAGCTATTACAAGATTGAAATCGAATAGAAATTCTAATGAACATCTTTCAAAAATGGTTATGCAGGAATGTTTCAACATTATTGGAGAGAAGTTATTATTGTTAGTGAATCACTGTTTAGTGTATGGCGAATTTCCTTCAAAATTAAAATGTTCTACAATTACTCCTGTCCCAAAAGTGCAAAATTCTTATTATTTTATAAGCTCTTAGAAGGAATCATATATGAACAAAAAAAGTAAAATTCTTTTTTTTATTCTACTGAAACAACAATTCAAATGGTAGTAGAAGAATGAAGGCGAAATATGGATGAAAAAAGTTTGCAGTAACATTGCTCTTAGATTTCAAGAGAGCATTTGAGACTATTGACAGGGAGAAATTGTTAACGAAATTGCATTGCTACGGATTTCAAGGTTCAATATTTAACTTATTACAAAATTATTTAAAGTTAAAGAACTAAAATTGGCAATACATTATCAAACATTAAAAACATTTCGGTAGGTGTGCCACAGGGTAGCAAATTAGGTAAATTACTATTTATTTTATATAATAACGATATTCCTGATATTTTTCAACACTGTAAAATTCAACTATATGCTGATGATAACATTAATATATATATATGAAATAAAGACATTGAAACTGCAATAGAGCTGTTAAATAATGATATGAAAAACGCAATAAATTGGTTAATTGTAAATAAACTTAAACTAAACACAAACAAAACAACATATATGCTAATAGGAAAATCTTTAGATCAAAATACGATAAATCTTACAATTAATCATGAAAAAATTGTGTCAATCGAATCATGTAAATATTTTATTCTAAAAAAATTGTGTACAACACTATCATTCTTCCTCATTAATTATATTGTTCGACTATTTTGTTCACTGCAAATGAAACTGTATTTTCAAAATTCCAAATATTACAAAATAAAGCTATGAGAATCATCTTAAATAAAAATAAATTTATGAGAATAAATTTTATGCTGAAAGAACTGCAGTGGTTAAATATCAAAAATTTCATAGTCTACTTGGTTTTCATTTTTATATTCATCTACCAAATCACTTGGAAAATTTGATTGTATTGAACAATGAGTGCCACAATTATTCTACTAGAGGAAGTATAGACTTTCATTTACAAAACTGCAGTAGCAGTATAACGAGCAAGTCAGTATTTCAAAAGGGATTGTACGAATTTAATAAATTAAGTAATGATATCAAGATGTGTGTCAGTTTGAAAATGTTCAAAGGGAAATTGAAAAAACCAGAATTCATAGTAGAGAAATTTTGTATAAAAATATGTATGTTTGTGATAGACTGTATAATATGGATACTACGAATATTGTAGCATTAATGCTAAATAAATCTGAAATAAACAAACAAATAAAGCAAGATCTGGACTGTGAGGAGGGTGCTCAACAAGTTTCGGTCCAGCAGTGGTCAAGTACTCGGAGCAGGCTTTGGCGCTGTGAGTTGGAATGTTGTAATGGTGGAGGTGTCAAGTATTCATTCTTGATTTTGGCCGCAGGTTTTTCATAGACTCTATGACTTTAGGCAGGCACTGTTCCGTGTACCACTTAGCTGAGACTGTCTTCTGTGTGTCCAAAACGACACACTCTATCTACAATCCCGCTCGATTTGAAAAATACAGCTATCATTTTTCTCTTAAAAGATCGGGATTTTCTGGCAGCTACGGGTCTGTCCTCGTCACCAAAGACCCAAACCTTGTTTTGAGCTTTGGCCGGCACATCGAAATAATAGAGCGAAATCTCGACACCTGTCACGATGCTAATCACATACCGAGATTGCCCCTTATCAATCATCTTCAGTCTCTTTCGCCAAAATTCGTACGACGAGTCCTCTGCTCTTCCGTCAGACTACGCGGTACTCTGACAGAACAAAGTTTCCTTACGTGTAATGCAGAATTGAACGAATTGCTGGTGCATGAAGGTGTAAGAACACCTCTATCTGTTGGTATGTCACTCTCGGGTCTTCGTCAAGGATTTTCCTCACAGCAGTGATGTTTTCCTCTTCCATCCCTTTCCGCGTCCTCCAGAGTGAAATTGCCTCTTTAAAATTCTCTGCACCAGCTTAATATAGTCGTACGATGAATACAATCATCCTTTAATAAAAGTATCATTTCTTCTAAGCTCTAGTCTATGCTTAAACCACGCGTAAAGTTATGCCACGATGCCATAGTCCGCACTGTCAATACGAATGAACAACTAAATTAACAGGCTTGCTGCACTCATGCACATGTCTCAACATGCTGTAACATGCAGCCTCCTGCGTCCGTGTGTTAAGTCATATTGCAGAACTTTTATAGTCAAGTTAGTTACAAATGTTCACTGGATCTTAGCTCATTATGCCTTCTTCTCTTTCAGAGAAAACGCAGAACGATCTATACGTATCATGGAGCGCATACTGCCGAAAGACCATCACTTGCTCGCCTCGGTGAAGCGGGTCAAAGCGTTGATCCTGGAAGAGATTGCCCTGGACGAGCAAGGCAACATGTACCTGCAGCTGCAGTATTTGGAGGAGGCCGAGCAATTGCACAGGGCCGCACTTGCGCTTTCGCAAAAATCGTTCGGGGAGGATAACGTCCAGACCGCCAAGCATTACGGAAATCTGGGCAGATTGTACCAGAGCATGAAGATGTACGATGAAGCGGAAAGGATGCACGTGAAGGCCATTATGATTAAGGAGGAGCTGCTGGGAAAGGACGATTACGAGGTTGGACTGAGCACTGGCCACTTGGCGTCCTTGTATAACTATCACATGAAGAGGTATGCAGGTCTTTACTTGGAAGTCTTCAATTTACAGTAATGGACAACAGTATATAGACAAATATGAATATTTACCTAAATACCCTTAGAAAACGAACTCATACTGCATTGCTCCAGAAACAAATGCGTTATTAGTAGAAAAACTAAATTCCTTGTTTTTACATTATCTGCAATAAACACAATACAAGTCGGAATATAAGCACTTTTTTATGAGGGACAAAAATATGTAGACAAATTGTTTTCAACATTAGTTTAGTACAGTTTCGTGTCAGAAGAGGATTATTTTGTGTTCATCAAGTATTGGGGAATAAGATGAGTGATTTTAAGACCATGCCGCGTAGTCCAGAAATTTCTTTCGAAGTGAAAACTAAGATCATTGAGTTATACAAAGATGGTCAACGTCAAGTCGACATTGCCAAAAATAGGAAGCTGAAGCGTAAAGCAGTTTGGGCAGTATTGAACAAATATAAGCAAAGAGGTATCTTGGAAGCCTCTAAGAGAAGTGGTCGGCCTATAAAAATAAACGCTTGATCAGTTAGATTAATAAAAGTAATTTCGTCAAAAAATCCGTTTAAAATCCCAAGACAAATAAAAACCGAAATCGAGACAAAAGGAATTGTCAGTGTTTCTACGAAAACTATAACTAGAAGATTTAATGATTTGAAGTTAGAAGCCGCTAATCTCGAGGAAAAACCGTAAGCGGTGGCCGCAGTAGTAGACTCTTCGGTCTCCTGATTAGTCGCCGTGCGCTGTGCGGGTTCGAGTCCCGTCCCAGGAGAAATTTTTCTCTTGGCTATGGATGTTGTGATTGTCCGTAGGTGGTAGCCGGTCTCTGACTGTCGAACGTGGAGGTACCACCCGGCGGATCTCGTAGGCGGAGCCAGAATGTGTGCATGTTACATGCACACGTGTTCCCTCGCCAGAGTCCGTGTGGCGTCCCCCTTTCCCCTATAGCCCCACGGTACCCAATGGGTGTTTAGGCCTTCGTGGTAGTTGGAGTATAAAAAAAAAGATTACAATTTGCACGGTTGCATGTTGATTGGAGCATCTGTGACTGGAAGAAGGTATGTTTCAGTGACGAATCCAAGTTCAATATGTTTGGATCAGATGGTGTTCATTACTTTAGACGTCCTAGTGGACAAAGATTGAACCCCAAGTACACTTTGCCCACTGTCAAACATGGAGGCGGGTCTGTTATGGTTTGGGGGTGCTTTTCGGGGTTTGGGATGGGACCTTTACATAGAATAGATGGCATTATGGATAAGTTTGTATACACAGCATGTCATGTTACCCTATATGGAAGACAATATGCCTTTGAGATCAATCTTCCAGCAAGATAATGACCCGAAGCACACTTCAAATCTCGCAAAGAAATTATTTCTGGATGAAAAAATACCAGTTCTCAAATGGCATTCACAGTCTCCCGATATAAATCCCATTGAAAATCTATGGGAATACTTAGATAAGCAAATACGAGATACAAATTATTCAAACAAGGATGAACTTTTTGCCGCTTTACAGCAAAAGCGGAGACTGATTGATGAATCTTATATCAACAAATTTCTACAATCTATGCCGATACGATGCCAGGCGGTGATTGATAATAATGGTTATGCTACAAAATATTAACACAAACAGGGTTTTCTATAATTCAATGAACTTTGCTTCTTTTTTCTATAATTGTTTTGCTTTCTCTATATATTTTTGTCCGTCATAGTTCCAGTTTTTTTCAATTAATTTTTTATTGAAATGAGTCTAATGCATATTTATGTATAAGTGAGTATTATGCTATAACGAATTATATATACAGATTGGTGTATTAATAAAACAAGTTAAAAAAGAAATACAGCACAACATTGATTTGTCTATATACTTTTGTCCGTAACTGTATATGGCCATAGAAAGTATTTCGACTGTCAACTTTAAAATAAAGTCGGTTCAGACGCTTAGGTCTAAAAATATACGAGTGTTATCTCAAAAATATGATTCCCAACGCTGTGACTTTGCCGCGCGTGATGCTAGCCGAAATCTGGCAACACCGTCGTGTTTGTCAACTCCCCCACCACCGATCCCAACAAGAAGCGCCTATTTGCGATGTTCATCCGATTTTTGCACGTAAAAACGTTACCACCCATAGAAATTCATCGCCACTTGAGTGAAGCTTGTCGGAAAGTAACGAGCTTTATTTTTTTCAAAATTTATTGTTCATTTAAGTAAATAAACTCAATATTCTTCGAAGTACCACCCTTCTGCGTCGATGCACTTTTGCCAGCGTGATTTCCAAGCCGCGTATGTTCCCTAGAACTCGACTGGGATGCTGTTAAGGGAGGTCGTCAAAGAAGCTTGAATGTTGTCTAGGGTGTCCAGATGCTGTCCCTTGAGGTCCCTTTTTCAGATAGCGACTGTACGGTGGCTGGGGCTCCGTCGTGACACCGATCCGGGTCAAGTTTCTAAACCGGCTGTCCCAACTAGCAAAGTAGTGGTATACGCTTTTGGTAAAAGGACCGTTGAGCCATAAAAGCTCTCTATTGTTGTTGCCTGAACACCAAAATGCTGGCTTAATGTTGTGTGGAATGCAAATTTGCTTTCTGCAACATATTTGCTCTAAAATGAGGTGTTTAAAATATTCTTATAGCATAGTTGTACAACACCTTATAGGGCAAATTGTTAACTGTTGCATAAACGTTTATACAACTATTTTATACGGCATATCTGCAAGTTAGTCAAAATGGTTGTGTTGTGGCACTCATGCTAACGTTTATAAAACAAACCCGAGCCTTGTTGCTTTGCTGTGCAATTCACTACATCAGTCAACAAATTGCTCCCAACGGAAGCATTTATACAACTGTTACATATGCTAAATATGTTGGTAAACAACTTCACCATAACCTAACTTTCTGCTGTCATATTCTTGTTAAAATGCCATAACCAATATTTTAAAACAAACAACGCATGCATATCAGTTCAAAAGGTTTTATCAACTGTTCAAACAGAAGATATAGATCTGGTACAAATTCTGTGTAAATCATTCGACTCTGTCCGTATTTCATTTCGGACATTTGTCAAATTGTTGTATAACACCTGCAGGCAACACCAAAATATTCTAATAACCTAAAGACAACATGGACGATGCCATGATTGTACACAACCACCCGCCATATTGGGCAAACATTTATTCCTCTATTTAATATTAAATAATTGTTTCAGTTCGAAATTACAGATATAAAGTGATAAACATTAGTGCAATTGTGTCTAAATATAGGATTTGTGGAAGATTTAACGCAGATAAGTTCAGTTTTCCATCTTAAAAATCTTTTGAACATTGTCAAAATATGAATCAAATACGAAGCCCGTAGAAATTGGGTAACTAATTTGCACGATAATCACAATAAAATTTGCTGCGCAAGTAATTAAATAGCCCTATATCAAAGTGTAGAAGTTTATCATATACCTGTGTATGAAATTCACAATGGCCGATATGTAAGTAAACAAGATGACTGTAATGTGTTAGTTATATATTCTTCACTTCGTCTATACAATACATAGGAAATAGTTTGGTTGCAATAAAGTAGAATCAAGTAAGAGAATAGTTGTATAGTTGACAAAAACTGAATCTTGCACTGACGCAAATGTCCTATAGCGGCTGCAAGAGGCTTTCACTTTTGTTTTATAACTGTTACCTGCAGCCCTTATACAACCTCTTAAATGACTGAAGTGTCCTATTAGGTGTGCCCATTCCGCTTGTATAGCTGTTCTAAGAGGGTTTTGCTAATGTTCTTACAGTATACAATGCTGTTTAAGGAATACTGTATAATTATTCTTGCAACTCTGATAGGAGTGATAATTGTTAGTTGGGTGGCCGCGGACTTCCTTGAGGCGGGAGTGAAAAAATGGATTCCGAGTCTAAAAAAATGCGTAGAAAAAAAGGCGACTATGGAAAAAAATAGCTCAAAGATCAACGTTTCCGTTTTTTCAAATAAAAATTCTTTGTGTGGGAACCATATTTTTGAAACAACCCTCGTATTTGACACTACTAAACTTAAAACTTTAACAATCGGTAATTGTATCATCGTGGCGTTCACGTTCGAAGTTGACGTTGAAATGAATTCATGCTATCTTGTTTCAGGTATAGGGATGCTGAAAAGTTGTACCTTCGCTCACTAGAAATAAACTTGAGACTGTTCGGAGAGGCGTATTCAGGCTTGGAATACGATTATAGAGGTTTAGTGAACGTATACGCGAAACTGCTCGAGCACGAAGGCGTTATCAACTACAGTCTCAAAATGACCGAGTGGCAACGATTGAGAGAAGAACCGAAGAGTCCCGAACAGAATTTGGAACCGCAACCGTTGAAACAGATATTAGAAAATTATTTCAACTCCATGGAGTGATTGTTATGTTGATTGTTCATTTGCAAACTGCCCTTTTAGTAAGATAGAATTAGTACAAAAATGTTATTATTTGACGAGTATACGCTCCCATGGAGGGATTCTGAAATCGTAAGATAAAACTACTGCGATGATATTTAATTGTTTTATGACAAATGACGCTATTATTATTCTATATTTATTTCTCAACAGAATCGTAAAATGCATTTTTGATTCAAGTATTACTGAATTTAGCCTCGAACAACAAACACTACGCCTGCACGGAGTCGAATAAATCAGCTGGACTGTTAACGATACTATGTTTCTTGTACTATAAATACAGATGCCGCGTGTTATCGTCGCTACTTTCTATTTTGCACCACTGTTTCTAATTATAATAATATCATGGTGTTGTCATTATACCCCATTCCTAGTCCATTTACGCTCAAACAAAACACAACATGCCCTAAAGCGAGAATGTACAGGACCGTATTTTCCTCAATGATTATTTTTATAGAAAGAACTACACATACTTTTCACAATTCTTTATTCGCCGGAAGTACTTAAATCATCGTCTGAATGGTTTAATATTAATTATTTATTACAGGTTCAATTTGAATATTGATCATATTGTCCAGGTTGTCTCTTGAACGTGACGGATGCAGTCTTTCCAATGGTTTGCCGTCACTCTGTTGACCGCTTCATAAAACAAATTTTTCACGTCCGAAAATTTGAATGTTCTATTGGCATAGTTTTTTATATTTGTCCAAATCATTTCAGCGGGATTTAATTCGCAGTGATAAGGGGGTAGCCTTGGATTTGAATGTTCTATTGTTTGATGCCACATAGTTTTTTATATTAGCCGAAATCATTTCAATGGGATTTAATTCGCAGTGATAAGGGGTAGCCTTGAATCGGTCTTATTTTGGTTTTTTCGCCATTTCGTCGATAACATTGAGATTATATTTTTATTTCTGCTACCTGACTAGATGGGCAAGTTCTGCTTTGACCATATTTTCACTGATACTAATGTCTTTTGACAGGAGCCATTGTCGAATTTCTGCCTTTCTTGTGGACATTGTGGGAATTTTTTCTAGTTTTCTAGTGTGGTATGAGGCGTTATCAAGTACAATGACGGCATTGTCGTCAAGCTTTGAGAGCGTTCAAATGAACTCGCGTCCATTTCTGCATGGTAGTCGGTCCTTTTCTTTAAGTCAAATGCCCATAAAGTAGTGGGCACAAAGCCATCTTCACTGCCAATGTGATAGATAACAAATCGTTTTTCTTTTCCTGGAAATAATTATTTCATATAGTATTCAAGAAAACTAATAATGTCACAAGGAGAGTATCTAACAGTTTTTGGTTCCAAATCGACCAGATAAAGCTAAGTTTTCAGCGTGGGCTCATAGATTCAGGTTGCTTGACACCATTTTTACAACACAAATGACGAATTAGTTAGATACACGTACCTGACGGATTCGTCAGGTCAGTGGTTATTCATCTAAGAAGGCTTATCTTGCTGATTTAATTGTAGATTCAGCCCATACTTTAGGTTTTGTATGTCCTGCATTTATCCAGGTTTCATCAAGTAATGAATCTTCCTGCGCTGGTCGCGATATTCTTTATTGATTTTAAATAATTCTTCTTCATAAAATAATCTTTTGGTTGGCCATCAAAATACTATTTCTATACTCCAAATGAAGTTCTTTGAGTGAACTATAGAATGTGGTCCTTTTGAAAGTAGGTAAGTCTTCATCACTAGTAACCTCCTGTAATACTTTGTCTATGGTGGGAAGTTCCTGTCTTTCAAAAAATTGATGGACTTTGCGTCGGATGGCATTCTGATCAAAGTTATCAACTGTATCCAACAGCTTCGTGTAATGCACCCTCTTGGGTGGTGGAGACAATTTTTTTTTATATTCTTAATGTTGAAATTTTCTTAGGACGTGAGCCTCTTTCACGTCTTTGAATATCATGAATAACCATTTCAGGATGCTCTAACATATCGCTTGTTATAATAATAATAATAATAATAAATGGCCTTTATTCGTCACACGATTACAAAATAATTGATTTAAAAGGAACAGTGACGAAAAGGTGGAGTGTCAGCTTAATGCTGTTTTTCAACCCGACCTGGAAAACATTGACACAAACCTATAGAGAGAGAGAGAAAAAAAAAAACTTAGAATATAACACTTATCAGAGAAAGGAAACAATCAATTACCTGTGGATATGCATAAAGTAAAATTTTAGCCATCCGACTGCTTTAAACTCATCTTTAACCTTTTTTTAAATTGCTTAGGCTATATTCTTTATACTCACTTGATAAGCAGTTTATATAGTTTGGGGTGTGCCCAGTACGAGAAACTGCGTGTGAACAATGCTGTCGAATGCCGCGGGATAAGTAAGATGAGTTTATTCCTAGAGGATCTTGATCGTACTGGCAGAGGAGGCTTAGTTTTGTATAAAGATAATATGGCGCCTTTAAGGATAAGGGTCTTATGTAACCAAAGATAGGCACTGCAGTTTTCCTCCTCAATTTGTCATCTTAACCATCCCGATTTGTCAAAAGCGCTACTAATATGATCAAATTTACGGATTCCATAAGAAATCTGATGCATGAGTTTTGGTATCATCTGAATCCGCTCGGCATCACGTTGTAAAAGAGCAGGTCCATAAACAGAGTCACCGTAAGATAATTTTGACAGATAAGGACTCGCAGAGTTTAAGCTTGAGCTGTGCGAACAGGACACTTCGACCCGGGTATAACTGACGAAGCACATTATAGACGCATTGCATAGTTGGTTAACATGTTTAGTGAAGCGTAGCTTGCAGTCACAAACCAGATACCAAGGGTTTTGCATTCGTTTACGAGGGATATGTCTTCATTATTCACCATAATATTAATGCGATATTGATTTATTTCACGATTCTTTTTGGGCCCAAATAAAATGCAGCATGATTTGCCAGGATTTAGTTTTAGATTGTGAGCACTAGATATGTCAAAAATAGACTGCAGGTCTTGATTTATTTGATGTTGGCCAAGCATATATTCATCAGGATCGAAGCAGTTATAAAGTTGGGTATCATCGGCGTAATGATGAACGATTGAGTTGCTGGCGGTTTCATGAAAATCACATATATAAAGAGCAAATAAAAGGGGACTCAAAATAGATCCTTGAGGGACACCAAAATTTCTGAATAAAGAAGTTGATATATTGTTTTCATATATGACAGACTGTGAGCGATCAGTTAAAAAGCTCTTAATCAGCGTGCAAGCCGATGATGACAGGCCAAAGTATCTAAGCTTTTTACAGAGAATATTTGGGTCAACCGTTATAACGTTAAGGATAATTTCTTTTGCCTGAATATTCGAATGTTCCTTCTTGTTACGTTTTCGGGGAGGAGACATCAATGAAGAGGAATGATGGCTGAAGGAAGCATTGGTAGAAATATTCTGTTTCATCTGCTGTATCCGCAGACGACTTGCTAACATATGAGCCTGAGTTCCATCCTGTTGAATCCTGCACTTGCTCGTAATTTTATGGCCGCGCGGCGTCTTTGTTGTGCCGGGGCGTAAATGGACTACGAATAGGGTATAATTTGTGGAATCATACCTTTATAATCATAATGTTCTTTGTTAATATATTTTATAGGAATTGTAAGTGTAAACAAGCTAATTCTATCTCACTATCTTTTAACTAGTCCCGTATGAGTGCGATCCGAAGAATCTTTATTTTTTTTGCACCGAAATCTTCGATTCGCCTTTAGATTAATGACAAATTCCTTTTTTATGTATTTTATTTTAAATGTTAATCGTCTATTTTAAAAGTTGATTATGAAATAATATATATATCCATCAGATAAGTAGTTTCTTTGAAATGACCGGGATCTGGATAGTTATCCAGGTATTATGCCCCATATACAGGGTGTTCGAAAAATAGACGGAGATATTTTAGAGGGTGATTCCTTGTTAAAAAATATGAAAAAAAGTTTCTATAAACATTCGTCCGGAAATGCAGAGTTTTCAAGATACGTGGTGATAAATTAAATTTTTTGATTTATTAATATCTTAAAAAATATTTCCAGATTTCTGATGAAATTTGGCAATATTATTTGTTTAATTAAGAGACTAATTAATAAATTAATATTACAGCAGACGCTCGATAACGTAAACACGGGATAATGAAAACTTGCGCTAATGTAAACACAAACTTCGTTCTATAGGATCAAACGGAACGCGCGATAACGTAAACAATGTGTACGCTCGATAACGTAAACAACTCTCGGCGCACGGAAACAGCGCGACGGTAAAATGCTGAAGCCTCGATGATTTATGTCGGGGAGTCCCCGATTTATGATGTAGAGTGTAGGGGATTCACCTCTGCGATAAAATACGACAAACTCGGTCAGTCGTATGATCGTTTAGGATACGTTATACGTACGTATGTATTTCATTTTTGAACTTAAGTGAATACATTGCACGCGTTAATATATTTTACGACTATGGCATCCACATCCTAAAAGAAAGTATTTAAAGTTGAGTGAGAAAGTGAAAATCATATCTATCAGTTAGCAAAAAAATATGGAGTATCGAAAGCAACAATCTGTAAAATTAAGCGTATGAAAACTCAAATTTTACAAAGAACGTGCAATACACTTGGAGGTCCGGGAAAAAGAAAAACTTAAAAAATGCGAAGGCACCTAAAATGGAAAATTCCCTGTATAAGTGGTTTTTAAAACAACGGGAAAATCATGTCCCAGTTAGTGGCGAAGTACTTAAACAGAGAGCGAGACTGTTAAATGAAAAACTGAAAGAAACTGAAAATTTCGTAGCTAGTGATGGCTGGCTACAACGATTCAAAACAAGATATGGAATTCGACTGCTGTCTATATCTGGTGAAAAATTATCAGCACAACCACAATTAGTGCAACCATTCAAAGAAAAATTGATGAAAACAATTACCGAGCTAGATTTAAGAATGGAACAAATTTACAACGCAGATGAAAGTGGCCTTTATTGGAAAATGTTACCAGAGAAAACCTATGCTGCATCATTTGAAAAATCTGCCCCGGGAAGAAAGCCGGAGAAACAACGAATAACGTTTCTAGCCTGCACTAATGCTAATGGTTCACACAAAATAAAGCCACTGGTAATTGGGAAAGCAAAAAATCCGCGTCATTTAAAAATGTTAATATCCCTGTTGATTATGACTGTTCAAAAACCGCTTGGATGACTAGCAGTATATTCCTGAAATGGTTCCACAGGTGCTTTGTCCCTCAGGTATGACAATCAATTATCACAAATGCTCTATTCATAATTTGAAGATGTGTTTTCAATTTGTAGGTAAAAGGTTTCCTAAAACAACAGAAGCTTCCAATAAAAGCGTTGTTACTATTGGATAATGCACCAAGTCATCCTCCGAGCAACAACTGAGGAGCAGGGATGGGTCAATTTTCGTCATGTACATGCCGCCCAACGTAACACCGTTAATTCAACCGATGGACCAGAATATAATAAGACTCACCAAACTATACTATAGGAAGTTTCTACTTTCGTCTGTCTTATCAAGAATCCTGAAAACTTATCTGAGGCTTTAAAAAAAGTAACATTACGAGAAGCTGTTTTAGATTTACATATGGCCTGGAATGAACTTAACCAGCAAACTATTCAAAAATGTTGGAACAATCTCTTTTGTACCAATAATGAAGATGATGAAGAAGACGATGTCCCCTTAAGCGTAATTAGAGAACGTTTGCGATCCAATAATGATAATGTTATTAGTGTGTCATTGGATGTTGTTGATTTATTGAAAACAGTGAATCCCAACATTGTTTGTACTCCTGCTGATATTAATTTATGGAACGAAGATAAGCAGACGAATGATGCTGATAAGGAGGAGGATGGATAGTGAGGATGATGAGAACGATCCCATTGAAGTCAGAAGTGTAGTGACTGACGCGCAAGCTATACAAGTTTTTAACCAAGCTTTAGATTGGGCTGAAAGAAAAAATTTCATACACGGATTTTAGTTCTTCGTAAATTACGGGCGCAGGCATTGGAAGACAATGCTAAGCGCAAATTTACGCAGACAAAAATTGTTAATTATTTTTCTTCTAATTAAAAAAATACTTATCGCTGTTAGAATATTTGTTTATTTTGTTATACTAGTATGTATTAAACGTTGCTTTTAATAAATCAAATATTATATAAATCACGTTCGCTAATGTAAACATTTCGGTAATGTGAACCACACTTGGATTAAATTAGTTTACATTATCGAGCGTCTGCTGTATTATGTTCAGTGGCGTCCCGTGGGGCGCCTGAACGAATATATTGGAAAAGAATGTGCGCCACTGCCTTTTTGTAACTTTAGTATTTGTTGTTTGATTAAGCATCTAAAAATACTCGTATCTCATTTCGTTTTCGAAAAAAAAAACGTTTTATTGCATTACACAGGACAAAATTGGTATAATAATTTTTGCTAAATAATCACAGGTGTATTTGAAAAAAAAATTAAAAAAAAATTTCTTCGCTAGCATTTTAGATTTTATTTCTTAATTCTTCTATTGTTTCTTTCGGAGTAGCGTAAATCATCGTCTTAAGGTGTCCCCATAAATAAAAATCTATTGGATTAAAGTCAGGGGAGCGAGGTGGCCAGTGAATTGGACGCGCATATGTCAAACCTGCATGCAGAAATTATTTTTTTGTTTTCCAAGGCACTTTTTTAGCAACAATTAATAGACCAATTTTGTCCATTGTCATGCATCAAAATGGTTTTAATTTTTTTCCTTGAAAAAAAATACAAGAAGTTATATTTTTAGATGCTTAATCCAACAACATTAAAGTTACTAAAAAGAAAGTGGCGTACATTTTTTTGACAATAATATTCGCTATAGTGCCCCCCGGGACGCCACTGAACCTATTAATTTTAATCTACTTAACTCTTAGTACAACAAATAATATTGCCAAATTTCAACACAATCGAGTAAATATCTTTTAAGATAAAATATTTTTTTTTCCAATTTATCACAATGTATCTTGAAAACGATGCGTTTCCGGACCCATGCTTATAGTGGGGTTCGCGCTGACGTCGCCATCTAGCGGATGTCGATTAGAAATATCTGTGCTTGACATGTGATGTATAAAAATAAGTGGAGAAAGGACACCAATGCTGTTCGTGCTGTAAAAACGTTCAAGAAACTTGGCGTCTGGAGTACACGTGGTGCTTTGACAGGGTTGCCATGTTGGAGGATTTTCCTCCAAATATGGGAGATTTTTCTTGAGGAATTTTTTGGGGATATAATGTTCTGGGAGATATCACACGTTCGGCTGATACGAGAGTTGTTTCAAAAATAAGGTTACCACATTTTTTTCAGGCACAAGGAATTTTTTATTTGAAAAACAAATTTACCATTGCAAATGTTGATCTATTTTTCTACAGAGTCGCCATTTTTTTTCTATTCATTTTTGCAGACGTGTAATGCGCCTTTGCATTCCGCCTCAAGGAATTCCGGCGCCAGCCCATTTAGAAATTTTGTAACTGCTTCTTGCAACTCCTCATCCGCCTCAAACCTGTGACCGCCTACGTGCTCCTTAAATTTGGGAAACAGCTTGAAATCCCTAGGTGCCAAATCGCTCGATTAAGTCCTTCGTTTGATGTACGACAATTTTGGATTGCTTGTCTCAGCTTTTTCAGAAGCCTCAGGAATTTCAACCGCTAGTTCTCGGATCGTGATTCGTCGATCTTCAAGCAAGATTTGATGGATCGTCGTCATAACTTCCTCGGAGATGCTTCGTTGTTCATCGTGGACGTCCATGCGTCCGTCTGAGCACTCTCTTCATCATTTGAGGACATGATGACTGTTTATGCACGCTTCCCCATATACTTCACTCAAGTGGCGATGAACTTCTATGGGTGGTCACGTTTTTGCTTGCAAAAATCGGATGACCACACGAATTTTGCACCTGGCGGTGACGGCGATGAACGCCTCCATTGCACGGGGCTCTCGGGCCGGTACTGAGCATGGCAAATAGGGGCTTCTTGTTGGGATCGGCGGTGGGGGAGTCGTCGAACTCGATGGTGTTGCCAGATTTCGCCTAGCATCACACGCGGCAAAAATACAGCGTTGGGAAACTTATATTTGAGACAACCCTCGTACAACATGCATTTTTAAAAATCTAGCGAAAAGCCATTTTCCATGAGTTTTCTTCGGGGTCTTGAACAAATAAATGCATGGCAGGTTTCTTGAGGTATTGTAAACAAAATTGAAATCTTCCACAAGTGTGGTACGACGAACAAGACGACTATAGGTTATTATTTGATCTCACCCGAGAAATAATTTATTCAAAAAACTATATACTCAAAATAGATAATTGTCTATCGTAGAACCTCATAGTTTATCCTTTATAATTGCCATGAGTTTTTCGAGTTTCAAAGCTTGCTGCATATTTCCTTCAACTTTCATTCTTTCCATCATGAAAGCAGTAGCGGGCTTTAACTGGCCTGAGACCATACTGAAAAAATGTTTGCAATCCATGGTGATAGTTGCATCGGGTTTTACTGAAGGTTCTCCAGGTCCACAACTTCCATTTTCGTTTTTCAAGTCAATATACCTGGAATAGACAAAAAAACTTACACACAGGCTTGTATATGGTAGCCATAGCAGAACGAAGCAATCTAATACAGTTAAAGGCTTCTCGTTCACTGAAAGCGCCGGCTGTTTGAGCAATACATTGGGAGAAAGAACTCTTATGTTCAATGAAAATAAATAAAATAAATTACAGTTATAATTGATTTCACAAAGTTATGAGAAACTATTTAAACACAATAATACCTGCAATTATCAATAATGCTGACAACTACTTCGAACAAGTTAGGGATAATATGGACAAATATATGATAGAATCTATGGTCACGGATATAAGTATATGAAGGACTAAGTCAACACTGTGGTTTTCATGAATATTAAAATAGTCTAAATTAAAACGCGATACTCAGGAGAGAAAGGAAAAATACTATGATAATAAGATCGATAGCAATAAAAATAATTCTAAAATGATGCGGAAAACATTAAAGAATATTGTTTCTCTAAATAGAAAGACTGAATTATCTAAAATGCGTTTCGCAGACTGAACTACACAGAAACGACTTTTTGTGACAGATGGGGCAAGCTGGTTTAGTGTTTAGTGGACGAAGACTCGATCAACTCTTATACAGAAAATTCACGCCCATTATAGCATAGTGAGTTTCTTTTTTACTAACCACTTTCCTGTTTCTTGACCGGTCAAAAAAACAAAGATAGCTCTTGTTTTTTGTACCATTTCTGGTGAGATTGAGGTCCCAATTTTCTTGAATAGGCTGGCAACGTCGCCGTGTGGTTGCTCTTCAGTTTTGCTACCCGCAGCATTTGGTTTTTCTTCTATCTTTTTGCTTTTTTTTCTAGGTACATAGAAATCTAGAAAGCAGCAAGCTATTAATATATGTCCTTTCAGTTTACCTATACGCAATCCACAAAGTATTTTAAATACGAGATACACGTATACTCCGTCCATGTTTGTTAAACTAAGAGCAGCTATAAGTCAGACCCGCCAGATTCTCCCATTCAAACCGTGTCGAACGTCGTACATCCAGAACTGGTCGGTACGACTATTCCTTTATCCTACGTAATTACACTGGACAACAAATTTTAGTTTTTTAATTGTATCTTGTGGGAAAAGTACACTTTTTGTTAATTTTGGGGCGCTGAATCCAAAAATGACAATGAAAAAAAAAATTAGTTGCAGTTTAAAAAAAAAACTTTTTATTTTTAAGGATATATTAAAAAAAGTAACAACATATACTTATAAGAATCACTATATGCGCTGTCTTTTTGCTGTTCTTTTATGGATCGTTTCTGGAGCATCTCTACCAAGAGTCCAACAGTAGTCTGCAAGCATGGAAGGATTCCACTTTCCCTGGTACCTTTTTTCCATATCCTGATGAAAACGTTCGCCGTGCTCATCACTTACGGCTCCGCAATTGTCAGGAAAAAAGTCCAGGTGTGAGTGTAGGAAATGTATCTTAAGAGACATATTACAGCCCATCTTTTGATACGATGGCAGCATATTTTTGACAAGGGTTTTATAGTTGTCAGCTTTTCTATTTCCCAAGAAATTAGTGACCACCAGACGGAAATCATTCCAAGCAGTTTTTTCAATACCTGTTAAAATGTTTTCAAACTGTGTATCTTTTAAAATATTTCGAAACTGTGGCCCAACAAAAATACCTTCTTTAACCTTTGCCTCACTTAGTCTTGGAAATTTCTGACGCAGGTATTGAAAAGCTGACCCATCTCTCTCTAATGCCTTGACAAAGTTTTCATTAGCCCAACTTGATATGCAGTGGTGGGTAATAATTTTTTTTCGAATCTACTAATGGCATATTGCTGTACATTTTTTT